TTGGTTGATCGCTTCTCTGGGGGTAATAATCCTTTTTTAAAAAAATGTTGTCACTCAATCCACCACTGTTTGTGGGGCACTGCTGTGTGCAATTGGATGCCGCAATTCGTCCACCAAATATACAGTTAAAGTCAATTCACTTTACAGTGTTTTCTGTGAAGCGCTTTGAGACGTCTTGAAGACATGATAAAGTGCTATATCAAATGCAAGGATTATTATTATTATTATTATTGGCTGTTTGTGTTTGACTGAGTTAACTCATTCAACAATCACTGTGTTATTTTATGCAATTCCCTAAAAAAGTGGCTACTCACCCCAGTGCTTGTTCCAGTTCAGCTCATCAGTGGGGTCCGACTGGTAAACAAAATAATTTATTGACTGCTTTGACAATGCTGCTACTCTTAACAGAAATGCTATCAGGGCAAAAGTGGTTCCTGACAATGGACAGCAGCAATAATAGAGAGCAGATAGCAATGGGAATTCGTTCATTTTATAACAGAGAAAACAAAATAGCGGGAAATTATTATGAGGCAAAGCTGAAGAATGGGGACAGTATCAGGTATATTTTAAAAAAAATAATGAATGTTTTATTTAAAAGTACAATATTAAGGTGAGAGATAGCACTGAATCATTCATTTTTTAGTGAAGTGGTTGATCTTAAAAAAATAATAAGCATCACATTTGATATTGCGCTTTCTCATGTTGGGAGGACGTCTCAGAACACTTGTCAGGCTTTATTGTGAAGTGGAGTGACTGTTTTTTTGTGGGCAAACATCATATGGCTGTCTGTCTGCTTTGCAAACAGTAGCATACAACAACTATATTGCTTTAATAAATTAACTGTGAAACCAAGTAGCAAAATGCTGCCAAGCTCCTTGAAGGTAGGAAGAGATTTTTGTTTCTATTCAGGTTGATTAACCAGTGGAGCTGCCACTTCTGCTTATCCAAGCTTATAAAATCAGATGCTTAATTTCCGGCCATAATGTTGACTTTTGTGTCTCTCGAAATGTTGACTCTTCGGCACGGCACATAAAGGCCTCTTTATTGCAATAGAAACACCATCACAGAGTTAGGGTTGTTTGCTAAAGGGGAAATGTATGGCTCTCCTTTAAAGTTGCAGGTAACCGTGACAAACTGATTCACAAGTCACTTTTCTGTAATAAAATAACTGCTGGAATACTATGGCTTTTGGAACTTGCATACAACAACAACAACACAATTACATTTATAAAGCGCCTTTCACGTCGGGAGAACGTCACAAGATGCTGGACAGACAAAGTTTCGGACCCGAGCTGAGGGTTGGGTAGGGGAGGGCAGGGGAGGAAGCAGGGAGATCGAAAGCACGGTTGAAGAGGAGGGTCTTGAACTGTATCTGTATCCTCTGTGTGATGGGAAGCCAGTTGAGTTGGGCAAGAATGGGGGTGATAGGGTCACGGAGCTTAGTGCGGGAGAGGACACGGGCTGCAGAGTTCTGGATGATCTGCAGCCTGTGGAGGAAGGAGTTCAGCCTTCAGACAGAGAATGTTTCTTCTCTCTCCAATCTTGAAAATTTGGACGATCAGGCAAAGTGCTTGGTCAGTGAAACCGTATGGAGGTCAGGTTACCCCGAGGGATTCTGTAAACTGAAGCACACGGACAATAAAATGTCACGGCAAAAGGAATTCTTTTTATAAATTCTCGATGATTCTGCTGCCAATCAAAAGGTCTCCTTTGCAGATTGTTATGTTAATAAGTATAACCAGTGAACTTAATTTAAGTTTCAAACCCAGCAGGGACCTTCCCTTCTCCCTCTCTCTCTCTCCACGAGATAACTTTGCATTACATTTTCTATAATGATTAAACATATCAGTCAGTAAATAGACCCCTTACACTCCTTTTTCCTCTGGCATTGAGTGCAGTACTGGAGGATCCCAAGCAGTGCTGCCAGGGCAATTCACTCATCGAATAGAATGAGCTTCAATCTCTAGTTTAGAGTAACAGAGAAAGGAAGTAAGAAAGCAGATCTCTTTAGAACTGAGAACCCATGGATACTACAGTTCACTTGCCCTTGGTGTTAACTATAGTTAGCACCACATCTTGTTACTCTGGGAAATTAAATTGACTTCACCTTCTAGCCATCGCTTTTGCCTGCTATTGCCCTGATAGATTCTTCCTTAGCTTTGCAAGCCTATTGGTTTTGAATTTTGTGTAATTTTTACGGCTTTAAATTACATGATCTTGTTTCTCAACCGAATGTATTGCAGGGAAATGGAATTATACTTCTCCCTCCTTGGTTTAGCATGGCCTTATTGCATCACTGTGCTCCGTATCTGGCTTCTATCACTGACTAGCTGGCTTTCCCTTTAATATTTTCCTTTTATTACTCTGTTGCCTCCATGCCATGCTAAGTTAGATACAGGGCAGGGTAAGGTAGCTCATAGCTAATAATAATCGTTGCATTTGATATAGCGTCTTATCACTTCCTTGAGACATCTCAAAGCGCTTCACAGATTATAGCGTAAAGTGCATTGATCGTATATTTTGTGGGCGAAATGAGGCAGCCAATTCCGCACAGCAGTGTCCCACAAAGAGTCGTGGATTGATGTGTCCCACAGGCAGACACCTTCAGTGCTGGTCTAATGTCAGTGGGCAGAGGGTTGTGAAGGAGCTGCTAAGTCTGTATGCCAGTTAATCAGAGCGATTCAGACTCAAGCCCTTTGAATGGGAACATCTCTACAGCTAGAGTTCCCAGGCTTTCAAATACCCAGCTAAAAATATCACATTTGGAGATTAACATCAATCCTCCATCCCTCCAGGGAGTGACTGAGGTACATGCAGTTTGTCACACAAGATCAGTAACATTTTGGTGCTTTGTCTATCAGAAATGTTGCAGAAGCTTCAACAGCATCCATTACAAGTATTGTTGTGTAGGACTCCTGGTTGGGTGTAGAATAATTGATAATAATTCAGAAGGCAACAATTCATTTTTTGAGACACTTCAATGAAGACAGAATTTTGCAAGCAATCAGTATCTAGAATTCCTCAGTGTTAAGTTTGACCCATTGGAAACCAGGAGGTTCAGCCAGAAACTAAAGGTGTATAAAACTACCCTCACAGAGATCACAAACAAATCATAGAATGGGTCTCTGAAGACATATTTTAATACCAAAGTCCTTTACAAAGTCCTTGAAGGGGAAAACTATGGGGTAAGTTGTGCAAAATGTACCTCAGGGCATAAAGTGTGTCTCATTGGAAAGAATCACATGTACGTCACCTGACCAGCGAGCGCTCTGTTCCAGCAGAGGTAACCTTGGGTCAGAGCAGAGACAATGTGCCACACATTGAGGCCTCTGCATAAGATGCACTTTTTGTCTCACGGTGCTTTATTGGATGCTAAGTGTTGGTAACACTGCGATTTTCCTCTTCAAGTGTAAGTACTTCTTCATCCCCAATTGATTCATGTGTAATTGTGGAAGAGGGTGAAAATGAATGATGAAATATTGAATTATATAATGTGGCATCTCAAACCTGAATTTTACAATGAGCACTAATAGCCTAACACCTGTCAGGAAACACCTAATGAATATTTTGTTCTTTGCGCTTGAGGGTGAATATTTGCATGTGAAAATGTAAAGCTGATCTTCCTTTTAGTCCATGCAAAAGACACAAAGGGTAACCTTGGTGATGATGGGTAATATTCATCATTGACTGGAGTTGTGTCAACTTGGCCTTTGACCAATTAGGTAGGAGATGAAGGAAGTACGCTTGAATCCCAGTCAATTTAATACCAAATTTACATCTAATATATCAATGATTAAACCTCCGTCTGAAAGCAAGCCATGTGTTGGAGTCACATATGGGATTGTTTCTAAATGTCTCCAGTTCTTTTTTTTTAAACATTGTCTTCTATTTCAACCTACTTCTGACAAACACAGTAATACAGAAATTGAATGTGATTAAAGGAGGTAATTATCCACCATAAATGGATTTAAATTTTAAGCTGTGTGCCGCCATTTCAAAGAATAATGTTTTCTTCGGGAGGAAAACCTTATCTTTTATTCACTCTTAATCCAAATTTCCTCCCAAATTCAAATGAATTGTCTGCTTATCCTATTGTTGTTTGTGGGACCTTGCTAACTCAAGTTAGCTGGTGTATGTGCCTCATTAATCATGAAATATTGAATCCATTACAGCATTCACTTGGTTTCTAATTAATCTCATTCTGTAAAGTGGTGCAAGATCTTTCTTTTATAGGAAAGCCGCCGTATTAAATGCAAATTAAATGTAAATTACCCACATTTTACCCTTGATGCCCATTGTGCTTATTCAGTTTTCCCCAAATCTAGGACGTTTTGTAAAGAAAATATGATTGCATTTCTACAATATTATTGTTGTATAAAGTAAACCGTTATATCTTAGGTGACATGTATAATCATGGCAGACGTTTAATCTCTTGAAACCAGAGCAGTTAATCTTTCCAATTACTTTTGATTGCTTCCAATCTTTCCAATTCCAAATGGTTATCAAGGTGCTTGAGGGAGTATTCAAAGTCCCTGTGGGTGCAGTACTAGACGGGAGAATTTAATTGTGTGCAATAGCAGGGTGTGATTGGTATGTTTCATGAAGTAGAAAGTGAGGGAGCGCGAAGGAAGGTAAAGTAGCATTCATACAGAACTGTTCCTGCAAAATTGAAAAGCCCACTTTGGGGAAAAGGCAGGTAAGTGACACTAAATGGATAGTTTCCACAGACATGATCGGCCGAATGAGATCTTGCAGGAGATCTTCTCCATTAGGGAGAAGAGAATAGTCAATAATATTTATGACTAATTCCTTATGGGAACCTCAGCAAGAGGAAGCCTAGAATTCTGGGGAAAGCTCATATCTCTTATTTTGTTAGGCTCACCCACTTGCAGTCTTAACCGCTTTATAATGCTCTTTTGCCAGGTTCTCTATCAGAGCACTGCACTGAAATGGCCCAGTATTCGGATGCTATAATTTCTCCCAACTTGAAGACTACCAGAATGCTACATGTGCCCCAGGCAGTTTCAATGTCGGAATGCATAACAGCCTGCTGCAAATTGCCTGGCTGTGACTTGGCCTGGGTGTTTGAGGGCCGCTGTTACATTGTAAACTGCCAACGCAAGGATGAGTGCAAGCCAATGAAGACCAGCACCGTGGAGTCCTATTTGACCTTTGTGCAGAAGTCACTCTCTCAGAGATTGGGCTCGCAGGCAGCCCATTACAAAGAAAGAGGGCACTCCCTGGGGCTGTCCCCTGAGGACGAGAGTAGCCTAGCAGACCTGGCACTGTATGAAGATCGCAACTTTGGTGACAGAATTACAGAGGGCGACTATCTGGGGGATTACAAAGGCTCGTCTGCTGATGGAGATTCAGCCGGCCCTGGCAATAATCAGAAGAACATACATGGCCCACAAGACTGGCAGGGATGGGACACTACATATAACCTCAATCCGTCCTCAGTGAAGGCTGGCGAAAATGAGGACCTTTATTCTGCTGAGATACAAACTGGAGCCCTTTCAGAAAGCAGCCTTCCAGTCAATGGGTCCCAGCATGAAGATTGGAGCAGTGATGAAACAAAACAACAGGCAACTGGTTTTCCTAAACTGCTCCCTGTAGAGAAACCCGGGGAAGAAAATCTAGAGCACAATGTAACCAGCACCATTGTTAATGAGGTACAGTCACTGTAATACTGAAGTCCACTAAATCTGATCACATAGTTTTTAAATTGACTTTTTGTGTAAATGATTTGCTTTAATTTACAATTCATTTGGATGAACAAACTCACAAAGAGAAACGTTTTCACTTGTGAAAGATAATGACAATAACTATTGGGTACAACACTCAGTACTTCCTCTCTTTTTTCCCTGTTCTTGGTTCTGTTTGCTCTTGTAAATGTTTCTGACCTGTCACTTCAGTGGGTAGGTTTTCAAATCATTTTGCTTCTGCACTGTAGCACTCTCCATAAATCCCACTGCCTCCCACTAAGGTTTCAACACTGTCTATAAACCTACCTCTTTGCCTGCTCCTTCGATCACTACCGACCTAGCCACCCCCCAAGCCCCACCCCATCTCTCACCCTGCTCAGGGTGCCATTCTGTCTCTATGAAGCACTTTGATCTATAACAACTTGCATTTAGGTAGTGCCCTTCACATGAGGCAGGGTCCCGAAGCACTTCACAGTGGTGGTGTTGGACAACGAGCCAAGGGGAGAGGCAGTGGGGAGGTGACCATAAGCGCGATCAAAAAGGAAGGTTTTTAGGTGGGGTTTGAAGGTGGGGACGGAGGGGGCAAGGCAGAGGGATTGAGGGAGAGAACTTCATAGTTTTGGGGTAGAGTGGCTGATCCGTTTACAATGCATTTCTGAGTAGTTTGTATTTTTACAGGACTCTGTCTCTCCTTTGAATTCATCGCTCGTTGCCTCAGTGGTTACACTGGCCCTTCCAGCGAGGGACAACTCTACCCCTACACAGCAGGAGAGTTTGAGAGGCAGCCTCTATACTGTGACTCCCACCAGCAGGAGCCCACTGGCTTCACAGGCCATGGAAACCAGTGTGATCCCCACCATCAACAGGCAACAACAAGGTATGTGCTCCCAACCAAATTCAACCTTAGGCTCATTATACAACCGTTGCCAAAATAATGCCCCTTTGCCATGTTTTATAGTGGGGGAAATCTTGTCATGGGATCGAGATGAAAAGATTAGTAGACTCCAAAAGTTTTTTTTATAGAGAATTTGAGTTGCCTTTTGCTCTAGATCAGATTATTCTCCTCATATGGATGTGAGCCCACAGTGATATTTGTGAAATAGATTTTTTTTTGCATAATTTATTTTATTAAAGAGTAGCCCGGATGCCTTGTGTGCTGCACACTGTGCTGAGCTGATTTGAGCTGTGGGGTTAATGAGGTAAAACACATCTTGCAGGATATTACTCATGAGTGCAAGACTCTGTTATTAATGTAGTCATTTTAATCCATAAAATCAGACACCCCACATTATACCAGAACGCAACTGCTGCTGACATCACTTCCTGCATGCTGTGTATGTGTACTATACACTATGTGCAGGAAGTGTCGCTAACCTCATTTCTGTATCCTCCACAATGTGTTGGAAGCCACCCAGTCAGAGCTGACAACTAAAGGTGTGCCATGCTTCTGGTCTGCGTACACTTACACTGTAAACAGACCCAAGCTATACCAGGCTTTGCTTAATAATAATAATCTTTGCACATCTGAAAAAAATGCTTATTAAGCTATACCAGGTCAGAGTCCGACTGTATGACTTAGAACCTCAAATTACACTGAGTCTCAGCCATTTTACAAGGTTTCTCTCTGCAGCACTTCATCAGTACGAGCTGCAAAACACTGTCTGTTATAACTGGTTGTTTTACTGGCGTCAATATGAATTTATCCCAATGGACCAGTTAAGTAAAGCATCTGCTTTGGTTGTTTCTTCTTGTGTAAGTCAGACATATTGAAAATAAAAGCCCGGGTTGTTGCTTTGAGCTGCGGGGGATTTTGGTAGAGATAAGTTACCTTCCAATCCAGCACTGAACCAGGGGCTGCAGTTAGTGTGCTCTGTACAGCCCACGTTATAGTCCCAGGAATTGCTATGCCAAAAACATCAGCCTATCTTCCTCATTCAGATGTAGATTGAGCTGCTGTGGATGGCCAGCGTGTCCAGTTATGTATCAGTTTAATGAGCAGTTCTTGTCACCACTATCTCTGCTGTTGCATTTGATATAGCGCCTTATCACATCGAAACAGCACAAGGTGCTTCACAGGAAATTGCTATCAATACACAGTCGCTATGCATCTGTAGGTGAAACTAGTAGCCAATTTGCACACAAACAGTCATGAAGTAAATGCCCATTTTTTTTGCTCGGGAAATTAAGAATGAATTGCAGAGAAACACTCCATTGCAGGAGTAGCTTATCTAACCTACCCATTCGGTTTCCCACTAGATTCTTTGGATTAACTGTGTCTAAATTAAAGAACCCTGAATGCTTTTACTTGGCAGACAATTTCCTTCATTGAAATCCTTTGTAATTGCTTGTCAGGCCATGGTGCTGACAGTCTTAGGCACAGACCTATCAGACTTTAATGGAAACGAAGGCCCCAACACCGAATATATCAACAAGTTAGAAGTACTTGGCCAATGTTTTCATTGAAATAAATGGGTTATCTGACCCCCTCAGCAGTTCAGATACCTATCTCCTGCCTTATCTTTTCTGTTTCCTTGCCGGTTCTATCCTATTATTCCCAAGGCAATTCTCTGATCTTCGTGTTCTACACTTATCTCTTCTGGCAATCACAGACACAATGTAATTTGAAGGTGAGGTGCCTGATGCCATCTTGGTTTGAATCTGCTATCCGAATTGAAAAAAAATCTTGCTACCTGAATTGCAAAAAATATCCGAGCAATGTTTTTAAAGGCCTTTTTTCAAAATGATAATAAAACATTTATATATTTTAACATTTCATTTCTTCAGTTTAAAAAAAGAGAAAATTGACGCACTAATCTTTCACCTCTGGGATTCTGATTCAAGGTCATCCCAAACTATTTACCCCTCGTTCTCTTAGCTACAATGGTCCCATGTGAATATTGTGACAATCATTAAACTTAAAGATACAAAACAACAGATGTGACCGTTCTCTTGTGCAGAGGTCTCAGGAATTTTTGGGATCATAGTGAATGGTTTTACTTTATAAACTGTTTCCTCTGTAATTGTCCAATGACAGAGTGTAGATTTAATAACTTGGGTTTCAGAGGAAAAGTAGGTTTTCCATCTTGTGTATCTGAAAGGTGTGAAGATTGGACAGGAAAAGGATAACTGGAGTGAGATTGAAACACGAACACCCACATGAACACAAACGTACATATATAATAATAATCCTTGCATTTGACATAGCTCCTTATTCGCATCGCTGAGACATCTCAAAGTGCTTCACAAAATATAGTGTAAAGTGGATTGATTGTGTATTTTGTAGGTGATGTACACATACATACACACATGCACACACACATATATATAATAATAATCCTTGCATATTATGTAGTGCCTTATCACGTCATTGAGATATCTATATACATATAAGCACACAGCATATACGCACATATATGTACACACATATAGATAATATATATAGCAAACACCTATACCTAAACAGTTTTTTCTATAGTTCGTAAAAGAACTTAACCTGGTGGCATTTCTCCCCAATAATTCTTTGTTTCTAATTGATGGCATTCAAGCACCAGCCAATTAGTCTGTGTCAAAACTGTTTTCTGATCTTCAGTCACAGCATAGATTTCTGATTGATTTGTTGTTGATTTCCACTGAACATTAATTTTCAATACGTGTTTTTTTACTGGAACAGAAATCAAATACATTTGAGTCAGGAGTTAGTAGTCTGGTTTGGTGATCAAGGGAACAATTTCACGTGGGTTTAATACATTTTCGATCGGTATTTTGACTGGCAAGACTGTAGAAGTAGGAGCATAAATCAACCCATTTGTCAGAACTTCCAGGATAAACTGATGGCCAGATAATTTTACTACAGTATATAGGTATAGGATCAAGTGGTCTTGTAGTGTTTATTAATTTTAGCTAAATTCATCCCCCACGAGAATAACATTAAAAAGTAACTTGAACAAGAAATTGTCAAGATTATATTAGCACATTGAGATATTTAGATTACAATTGGACATTGGGATATTTAGATTACAATTGGACATTGGGATATTTAGATTAAATAGCACATTGAGATATTCAGACAACGTGATAAAGAGCTATAACAAATGTAAGGATTTAAAAAAAAAGACATCAATTTGACAAAGTGCTACACAAAAGGCTATTGCACAAGGTTAAGGCCCACGGGATTAATGGGAACATATTAGCATGGATTGAAGAGTGGCTAATGGGTAGAAAACAGAGAGTAGGGATAAACGGGTCATTCTCAAATTGGCAGGATGTGACTAGTGGAGTGCCACAAGGATCAGTGCTTGGGCCTCAGCTATTTACAGTTTACATCAATGATCTAGACGAGGACATTGAATGTAACGTATCTAAATTTGCGAATGACACTAAACTAGGTGGGAGAGTAAGCTCTGAGGATGATGCAAAAAGATTGCAACGGGATATAGATAGGCTGGGGGAGTGTGCGAGTAGGTGGCAGATGGAATTTAATGTAGGGAAGTGTGAAGTTTTTCACCTAGGTAGAAAAAATAGAAAAACAGATTATTTTCTAGAGGGGGAGAGATTAGATAGTGTTAGTGTTCAGAGGGATTTGGGTGTCCTTGTACACCAGTCTCAAAAAGTTAGTTTGCAGGTGCAGTAAGCAACTAAGAAGGCGAACGGCATGTTAGCGTTCATTGCAAAAGGTTTAGAGTACAAGAGTAGGGAAGTGTTGCTGCAACTGTATAGGGCCTTGGTGAGACCGCACCTGGAGTATTGTGTGCAGTTTTGGTCTCCTTATTTAAAAAAGGACATACTTGCCCTAGAGGGGGTGCAGCGTAGATTCACTCGGTTAGTTCCTGGGATGAGGGACTGACCTATGAGGATAGGCTGAATAAACTAGGGCTATATTCTCTAGAAGAATTAGGGGAGATCTTATTGAAACATATAAAGATTCTTAAAGGGCTGAATAAAGTAGCCACTGAGGGTCTGTTTCCCCTGGTAGGAGAATCTATAACCAGGGGTCACAGTCTTAAAATTAAGGGTCAGCCTTTTAGAACAGAGTTGAGGAAACATTTCTTCACTCAGAGAGTAGTGAATTTATGGAATTCACTACCCCAGAAGGCTGTAGATGCTCAGTCCTTGAACATCTTCAAGGCTGAGACTGATTTTTAAAAAATAAATTTTTAAAAAAGAGAGGGATTAGGGTATATGGGGATAGGGCAGGTAATTAGAGTTAGGTCTGAAGATCAGCCATGATCTATCGAATGGTGGGGGGGGCTCGAGGGGCCGAATGGCCAACTCCTGCTCCTAATTCTTATGTTCTTATGTTCTTATCAAAGGAAAATGCTGTAAGTCATGTACTGTGATTGTTGACCACTGACTGTGATATACAATCACTCGGGGTTCACTCTTGTGTTCCGTTCATGTATTTGGCTGATCATTTTTCCAGTTCAATAATTCCTTCAAAAAAAATTATAATATTTTGATCATTCAATCCACGACTGTTTGTGGGACACTGCTGCGCGCAATTGGCTGCCGCGTTTCGCCCACAAAATATACTGTGAAGCACCTTGAGATGTCTCGACAACACGATAAGGTGCTGTATAAAATGCAAGGGTAATTATTATTATTATTATGTACATAAAGTTCTAGCCAGGGATTGTAGCCAGATGTTCTGCTGCATTTTTAATTTAAAATAAAAGTTGCAACTTTTACATTCTTATGATTTTTTGGCGAAATGTACAAATGATCTGACCTAGTTGGATCCATGTATTATGGAAACAAGTCGGTCATTTGACTGGATTGTTGCGTGGAGGTGAAACACCTCACAGATTAACAACAACAACAAACAATAACAACTTGCATTTATATAGCACCCTTCACGGAGGATAGCGTCCCAGAGCGCTTGATCCCGGCTACCACAAGGTTGTTGGTGTCACTTCAATTCATAGAATATCAACCACAGATTTTTTTTCCTTCATATCTTTTCACCATTAATAAATATAACTTTGTAGCTGCAACCTGGTGTGACAGTAGCTGATTGTTGCCGTAACAACGGGAAATAATTGGACTGATCTGTCTCGCTCCTGATTAGAGTCCATGTTGCAAATGCAGCACTTTTTCTCCCTCTCCTGGTTCGAGCTATCATTCTCATAGCTCCCCACATACACACACCGCACAATCCCTTGTGCACAATTGTTCCACCCACAAGATACACAATAAATCCAATTTACAATATGTTCTGTGAAGCACTTTGAGATGTCTCAACGACGTGATAAGGTGCTCTACCAAATGCAAGGAATATTATTATTACAGAACAATACCAGCTGAACATGGTTTTCCTTTTCTCCCCTGTCTTCCCTCCTTCGTCCCAATTTAGTGACTTTCATTTTAAACATGAATTAGCATTTGTTGTTTCAAACCATCAGACTATGTATTGGAAATTGATGATTTTCTGAATAACAGTTAACATATATATAGCGCCTTTTACAACAGAAGGACGTCTCACAGAGCTTGATACAGCTGGAGCCCTGTGTTTGCTGAGCAAAAGGTACAGGAGGTCACAGAGATAGGGTGGGGTGGGCTATAGAGGGATTTACAGATTCAACGTGTTAGGAAATGTAATTTCCACCTCCATAAGCAGGTTTTATATCTCCGATTTGATTTTATCTGTTGGTAGTGCACATTGAAACTGGACTGCAGTATTTTTTAGAATGCTGCACAATTGTATCTGTGAGCAGGAGAGTTGCAGCAAGTAAGTTATAAACCTGTCATGTCACATCTGCTCATTTTAAAGAAAGGTCGTTGCCAGATTGCCTTGTCTGTCCTTCTCCAGCTCTGCACTGATCTGCCCGTCTAGACTGTGGGCTCAAATTAATAATAATACTAATCCTTGTATTTGATATAGTGTCTATAATGCCAAAAAGTCTTAAAAGTGCTTCACAGGTAATGACTCCCTGTCATGTTTAGTGTCAGACGCTTTTCCATTACTGATGCAAGTTGTCTGATCCTCATCTTGTTCATTGTAAGTATACAATTATGCATGACATTTGATTCCATTTATTTCATCTCCCAGCTGATCAAAACACAGAAAAAACCGTGTAATGAATAATAATCTGTGCAATTGATATGGCATCTTAGCACGTTTTTGAAACATTGCAAACCGCTTCGTAAATTTATAGTTGAGTGTAGTGACTCTATTTTGTAAGTGAAAATCTCAGGAACTACCACATATAAGGTGGGATGCATGGAACAGTGTGTTTGGTTTGGATGCTCTTAAGCATGGTGATGGGTTTCCATATGTATCAGACACCCGGCTGACCAAAAAAAGTAAGTGAATCTGGAAGCCTTTGACCTGCACCAACCAGGATGTATAATACTTTTACTTGATGACTTGACTAGAAACATAGTGGACCCAAAGAGTCTGCAATGTCCCACAGAGCAAGATTATTTCAATCCCACTGCTCCACATTATCCCCATAGCCTTCAAACCCGTCTCATTCATATGCCTTTTTACTTCTCTCTTGAAAGCAGCAATGCACTTTGCTTCCATCACCCTTACTGGACAGGGTGGTCTACATCCCAACTACTCTCCGGGTAAAAAAAGCTGCCCAAGTTCTTCTTTCCCCTTCTTGGGGGCCAATCTGATTTCTGGGCAATCCCCTGTGTGAAGAAATGTTCCTGATCTCACTTCTGACTCTGACTTTCAGACTATTTCTGCCTGGTTTTGGAACCCTCTGCCAAAAGCAACAGTCTAGTCCGTTTCATTATTTTGAATAATCTTGTGAATGGATGGGTAGGTGGGTATCTGTATGGGGGAGGCACAATAACAAATAACATTTGTATAGTGCCTTTCACATTGGAAGGACATTGAGAGTCATTACAAAAACACAGGAGTGGTTAACGGACTTTTTTTAAAAAAAACATTCGCTGTACGAGCACAGGCCACATGCCACCCGTTACACATACACAAACATAGACCCAGCACACACACACACACACACCACAAACTCACTCTGCACACTCACAAACCGCACATGCGCACACACACACTGCACAAATATACGCCCCGCGCACGCACACTCCACACACCCCCACACATATACACACCTCACACACATACACCACATGCACACACACACAAAGTACACACACACACATTCACACAGTGGCATAGATATGGAGTTCTGAATGACTCGTTTCTGTAATATTCTGGGTCGAGGACCACATGAGCCACAATCTCAAATCTCAACAGATATCATCACCCCACCGCCCCATCCCAATCCCAATCATTGGTTACTTACTTATATCCTCCAGAATTCATATAATCTAGGCTGACGCTCCAATGCAGTACTGAGGATGTGCTGCTTTGGTGCATTGTTGGATAGTTGTCGTCGTTCAGATGGGACATTAAACCGAAGCTCTGTCTGTTTGGGTAGACATTAAAAATCACGTGGCATTATTTGGAAAGAGAAGGGAGTTTCTAGGACACAGAGAGAAACTTCTTTCTTTTTTCAAATATGGAGGAATACAATGCAATTAGTCTGGTGGGAACAGTTGGCACCAGTTAATAGACAGCTGCAATTATCTTCACAAAACTGAGCAATAAATCATTGCATCATTTAGAGCTTGGAAATCTATAGCTCCATCCAATATCTGAGACACCTCTTGACCTTGCCTTTGGTCAACCCCTTTAAATCTCTTATTTCACCGCTTGTGTGACAGCCAGAATTAGTGTATAAATTTCTGCTGAAAGGGCTATAAAATGCTTTTGAATGTCATGCACAGCCTCAGATAGTTAGTGTGCAAGACTGATGGAATATTAGTTCATCTAATAGTGGTGCGCATTACACAAATCAAATATGTTCCAAAATCCTTTTCTCAAATTCCTGAATCAGATGTTCTACAGCACAGGTTATTTTGGAGCAAAATGTCACATTAATTGCTTTGTAATGGAGTGAACAGTGATCGCTCATTTAGAATGCGCTGTCTTATTGCAGAACATGTCAGTCTGGTGTCAGTGCCTTTATTACAACAACAACAAGATTCCATTTATTGAGCGCCTTTCAGGTCGGGAGTTAGGTTATTAGAAGTAATTGCAGGTGGCTCGTCCATCCTGGTGGACACGATGAAAAAGCTATATTGTTGGTCAGGTGTCCCTGGCTCACACTGGCTTGTTCCCAACTGTACAGCTGGCCATGGAGAGCAGAGATGTTTGCAGACATGAACTACTGTACTTGCGTTCCCTAAAAATACATCTCAAAGCCACTTGACAGATCAAGTAGTTGGGCCAAATGACCTGTTTCCATGCTGCACAGTCGCTGCAAATTGATATATAGTGAAGTAAGAAATTCACAGATGTTGGCATGTCTGAAGGAAGTTTTTGAAGGCAAGAGTGAAGTAACAAAGCAAAATGGTTTTGGAAGGGTGTCCTGAGGACAGGTGCAATCTCGGCCATCAATGTAATAATAATAATGCTTGCATTTGACATAGCGCCTTATCACTTCGTTGAGACGTCTCAAAGCACTTCACAAAATATACTGTAAAGTGAATTGACTATATATTTTGTGGGTGAAACGCGGCAGCAATTTTCACACAGCAATATTCCACAAACAGTCATGGATTGAGTGACCAAACTTTTCACAAAGAGGAAGCAGAGATATTGGAATGCAGAGCTCACTCGAGCATTTGATTACTAGACTTAGGCCAGGCTCCTGACTTGCTCAGCTGGTCATGAAGACAGCTTTCAGGTCCTCATTGTCCTTCGATAATTTAAGGCCTCGAAGAGTTCGGGGGATTGATGTCAGATGAGGACAGGTTAGTTGTCCTGAAAGACTTGATTGGTGTGTGGAGGGGATGTGTTTGTCATCCTGGTACCAGCCACCTCCGCTCCCTTAAAGCACAGGTGCGTGCTGCTGTACGCACCTGGCTTAAATCAAACTTAATGGTCCATCGGTAGATCTGGCTGGACCTGATTAAGTCCTACCACTCTGCTAAATCATCGTTCTACTCCAGGACAATCTTGGAGGCCAAGGACAATCCCAGGCTTGTTTTCTTCATCACCACCAATGTCTGTCAGAGATCAAGTCCTGGATGAGAGCTAACTTTCTTCAGTTGAATGTCAACAAGACCGAGGCCCTCCTGATTGGCTCCCATCAGCGCCTCCTCACCTCAAGCGCTCACAGCATCGCCATCCATGGATACACATTCCACCTTGCTAAGCCAGTCCGGAACATTGTCATCTTCCTTGACCCTCAGCTATCCTTTATACCCCACATCCATGCCATGACCTGCTCTTTCGATAATTTAAGGCCTAGAAGATCATCCAGAACTCACAGTCCATGTCCTCTCCCGCACCAGGCTCCATGACCCTATTACCCCCATCCTCACTCGACTCCACTGGCTTGCCATCACACAGAGGATACAGTTCAAGATTCTGGTCCTCACCTTCAAAGCCCTCCATGGCCTTGCTCCCTCCTACCTCTGCGACCTCCTAACCCTCTGTCAACTTTCCCGGTCCCTCCACTCAGTGGTCTCTGGCCTGCTTCATGTCCCCGCCTCACCTGCCCCACCATTAGCGGGTGGGCCTTCAGCTATTGTGCCCCCACCCTCTGGAACTCCATCCAGCAGTCCCTCTGCCTCGTCCCTTCCTTGGCTCCTTCAAGACCCATCTCAAGACGCTCCTCTTTGAACGTGCTTTCAATTACCCTCCTTCCTCCCCTACCCTCCACCCTCCCCAACCCCCAGCTCGGATCCGAAATCTGACTGTCCAGCACCTTAAGACATCCCCCTGACATGAAAGGCGCTATACAAAGGTAATTTTGTTGTTGTTGTTGTCTTGAGTTAAGAGTTACAATGTCTCTGCTCATTCACAGTGAAGGAGCTGGTTGTGTCAGCCGGAAACAATATTGTGGTCACTTTGCCCAAAGATGAGATGGAACTGAATATTTTCGTGGTCCCAGCACCATCTGCAGGTGAGATTTGCACTGAAGAGTGGGTTGAGCAATTTACTTACTACTGGTGTCTGACAGTTCACTGGCATCTAGTGCTGTATGGCTGGTGCATGTCTCAGTGTCACACAGTAGCATAAATGATGAATATCACATGGCTGTTGCAACAGAGGAACAAGAGCAGGGCGGATTATTGATAACAGAGCAAACCAGCATCATGAACATGGAAAACAGAAGCTGGTATTTAGCCCATCGTACTATCTATCTCCCTTTTAAACAAACCAATTGATTTTTCATTTGGTTTCTCAACCATCGAACACCCACATGAATTCCTTATATAAAGTCTACACTTATTATTATTATTATTTTATACGCCTCCTTTACGGATGAACAATCTGAGGCAAATGTGGGCTTTTCACGGTGTGTATTTTAACTTTCTTACTTCATAGATTGTTCAAAGACTGGATGGTTAATTTTACAGCATTTAGATTACTTTAAATAACCAGAAATAAGAATATGGGGTGACTTCCATTATAACACGGTGGTTACGGTCCATAATTTCAGAGTCCATATTATAACAGGGCAAGTTAAGATATGGCTGCAGTCGTCACGTCACGGCTGATGTTACTTCCTGTGTGTTGCGTGCAGGACGCAGGGAGTGATGTTAGCAGTGCGTGCAAGAAGTGATGTCAGTGGCGCTTTCTCTACCTGGAAATCTGAATCCCTTATTCTCTCAACCACTTTAAATATCCCAAGGTTATTTTCTCTTCCTGTTTTTGTTGATGAAAACCATTGATCACATTTTGCACTTTCCTCAAGACAAGATAAATATCACAGCGAGAGTTTGCAATCCAAACTGCTAAGCCATCTGGAACTCCCACAACAAATTGAACAATTGACAAAGATATCAATGTTTTGTTCTATGCAGTAATGACAATTTTGTGCATTTTGATGCATGCCCTGTATAGTTGCTGTCTCAACTGCACTACAAAGTGTGATTTTTGATGCCAAACCTATGTTGTATAGTTAGTTCAAAATAAAAATGGCAGCATTGGAAGCAGTAGGGGTGGACATTTTGGTTTTGCCAGGTCAGACAGACGTCCAGCCCCAGACAGACTATCAGATATCTGATGGATATACCACCAACTGAAGGGTGTACCAACTGTCTCCTTGCAGAGCTGCCAAGGTCCAAATGGATGTGGAGCCACTACAGAGCTCCATGTCTTTACATTTTAAATGTAAAATATTTTACAATGTTTTCATAGTAGAAAACCATAGGAACACTAGAGAATGGCAATTGGTGTACACTTTTCTATAGGCTTTCCCTGCCATTACAAACACACTGTCAAAGGGCTCAAAAATGCATACCATGTTCAATATCAAGCAGTCCCTTAGTTGCTAAGTAGTCACTGTGGTCAGTGACAGAGTTGTTCCACCTCGTGTTTACAAGTTGATCATGTACATTGTTTGGGCCTCAGTGGGAGTATGTATTAATAGATACCTTGGCTTTGTGTTTAACACTATCACTGACTCTGCAGAATCCTCCTACAAATATCAGTGGGATTTGATAAGCCATCCTGAGGACTACAAGGGAGTAATGGAAGGCAAATACACTGAAACGCTCAAACTCACTCAGGTAAGTGATGTACTTTGATCTATTACCAGCTGGATTACAAGTGTGAACTGCAAAATAATTATATTGCATTTGATATAGCACCCTATCATGTCGTCGAGACATCTTAAAATATTTTACAGGATGTAAAATGTAATGACTGCACAATTTGTAAGAAAACATGGCAGCCAACTTGCACACAAGTTCCTGCAAAAGCAGACTTTCCCATGTATAGAAGACTGCTGTTTGTCATTCTGAATTAATTCTATTTGTATTACGCAGATAGCTAATAAGGCACAGAATGTTACTCTCTTGAAATTACTGCTGAAATAACATCCATGCAAGATACCATTTAATATCCTCAAATAAGGAAACATCAATTGCCAATCCATAAATTGAAAAGAAGAATGAATAAGCTGACAAAAATATGAGTCTGACTGGTGTTTTTTATCTTCAGTTGTCTGAAGGTCTGTATGTCTTCAGAGTTGCTGTGGTTGGAGACAATGCGTATGGAGAGAGCTTTGTGAATGTGACTGTGGAGCCTGGTAAGACTGATAGCATTTTGTTGACTCAGCATCAGATGAGAAAATGATTCTGCCAGGCTCTTCCTTTACAGTGGGAGATGACTGCCTGCATTTTAGTGGAGCTGACAGAATCCATTCTCTGGCCTGACAGACTGAACTGCAGAACTGTGAGAAAGCACATGTAGGCTCCTCACTCTATCATTTACAGTGTGCTTCTAACACTCAAATCATTTACATTTTAATGACATTTCAAAGTACTAACCTGGGTTAGTCGCAAGCATTATATATTAGAATTTTAGTCACAATGCTAATCTGATTTGGCACCATGCCAAATAAATTCTGAGTTTAACAATTTAGTCCACATGCACATTGCGACTTATCTTTTCGGTGGCTTTGGAGGGGCTTTTGATACCTTAGGCTCTGAATCCTTTATATATTTGGGGATGACATCTGTTCGTAAAGATTACATACAGTGTAAATGTGAATGCTGCTTTTGAAGTGAAGTCGCTGCATTCTGCTACTTTTTTNAAAAAAGTCCTTGTTCAAAAAACGGCTCCTTTTCCAAAACAGAAAATGGCTCAGAAATGTAAAGTGCCACTGTTACAGCAAGGAGAAAATACTTCTAATATAATAATAATCCTTGCATTTGGTAATGGCACCAATAATGTCAAAATACTCCACAGGCTATTGTTATAAATAAGCCATGAAGTGAATGACCAATTTATCTGGAGGTTTATTGGCCAGGACACCAGGAGAAACTCCCTTGTCTTTCAATCAGTGTCACGGGATCTTTAACATCCATCCACCTGAACAGGCAGACAATTTAACAACTCATCTCAATTTAACAATTTATCTCAATTTAACAACTCATCTAAAGGACCGCACCTCTTACAACCCAGAGCTCCCTCAGAACTGCACTGCAGTGGCACTCGTTGACATGAACCCACAATCTCTGATCCAGAACAAGAGTCCTGCCAATTGAATCAACTTGACTTGACACCACCTTGTAATGCCACATTCAATGTAGAAGTCTGACAGAAATCTAATTGCAGTCATTTTACATAGGTGAATGGTACTGTAAGGACTTTAGTTCACTTTAGTTAGTAAAGCAGAATGTTTGTGCAGCAATATGTAGTGGGACAGTATAGTGCCTTGTGAATGATATTATTGATGTAAAATTGATGCACTGTCAATTAATATAAATATTATAATTTGATGCTGACATGATCTATTCCTTTCCCCTGTAGCTCCACGTGTCAATCAGCCACCCGTGGCCATCGCCTCACCCAAGGCACAAGACGTTTTCCTGCCGACAACATCCATCTTTATCGATGGCAGTGGTATGTAGTGCTATCAAACCAATGCATAATATGCAGCTAACTGAAGAATATGTACCGGCCTGCAGCTCGAAGGGACACCAACTCGAAAGTGTCTGGGAACCTTTTTTGTTTTGTTTGGAGAAGGGGACTTATCAGACGACACCTAAGTGATAAACCGTTTTATTGCCGTTTACCTGGCTACGCTGTGACTGAAGTAAACACACAGAAGTTTGCCGAAACTTGCTTTACCATGAGGTCGTGTTCCTTTAAGAATGTGTTTTAATTTCTGTAAGTAGACAGAAAGACAACATTGGTTTTAATCTCCAAAACCCAGACCTTTGGTTTGTGTGGTTGCTCTGAACTCCTGAAGCCTCAATAGAGTTGACAAACCTTTACACAAAAACCTTCATATCTTCACATTGCTTTCTGTTTTGCTTCTACAGCTGTTACAGGTGGTAAGTTTTGATGCTGTCAATATCCTCTTCCTTAGAAAGCACCGATGATGACAGAATAGTGGATTATCGCTGGGAGGAGATCAAGGGTCCCCTGCGAGACCAGAAGGCATCAGCGAATGTCCCCATCCTGCACATCTCTAACCTAGTCCTTGGTAACTACACACTCAGGTAAAGGCACAACTGTTTGATGTAACTTGCTTGTGTGAATGATCCAGACATTGTTCTCTGTCTTTTCTTTGCTCATTATAAATATTTCCTTCATGCCAATATCAAGGGGATTAAATAGACGTACCTGGTACAGACCATTAATGGAATTGGTAAAGTGGCTGTGCTCCCTCACAATGGGATTCAGTGATCGCACCTCAGAGCTATCAGAGAGTAGTCCCATTGGTGATCAGCAGCACAGCCCATCTACTGTAGGGCTTCACACACCCCACACCCTTCTGTCAACCACTCCTTCCACATCGGACTACAAAACGTCCGCTCCCTCTGTAACAAGGCCCTGGTCATCAACGATCTTATCCTCGATGAGAGCATTGACATCATGGCCTTAACGGAAACCTGGCTCACCCCAGGCGACACCTTCCCCCTCACGGAGGCCACACCACCCGGCTACACCTCCCACGACATCCCTCGCCCCAACTGCTGTGGCGGTGGTGTAGTCCTTATCTCAAGGACACCACTTGCCCTATCCCCCTACTCCTCTGGCTCTTTCCCCTCTTTTGAGCACCTCACCCTCTCCCACCCCTCCTTTCTCTCACCCAAAATCCTCCTCCTCTACCGGCCCTCTAAAACCTCTCCCACCTTCATCTCCGATATTTCTACCCTACTAACATCTCTCTGCCTCTGTTCTGATCGCCTCATCATCCTGGGTGACTTCAACCTGCACTTCACCCCTCCTGCTCCATCTCCTCAGACTTCTCCTCCCTGCTCTCCTCGCTCAACCTCTCCCTCCATATCAACTCCGCCACTCACAGTCACGGCCACCCACTCGACTTGGTGATCACCCGGGGCCTCAGTGTCTCGGATGTCACCATTACCGACAAGGCCGTCTCCGATCACCACTTCATCACTTCACCACCTCCAACCCCTCCCCACCTCCACCAGACCCACCACCATCTTCTACCGCCCCTGGAAGAAGTTACCCCTACAATCCCTAACCGCTGCCTTGGAGTCCTCTGAACTCCTCTCCCTCTGGTCTTCAACCCTCACTGACACCTCTTCTGCTCTCACCCTCCTCCACAACACCCTCTCCTCCACACTCGACACTCTTGCCCCCATCAACTCCCGTACTGTCTCCTACTCTCGCTCCTCCCCCTGGTTCACCACCCACCTCCGCTCACTGAAGAGCCAGGTGCGGGCCGCTGAACGCACCTGCCTCAAATCTGGCCTAACGGTCCACCGACAAATCTGGCTGGACCTCCTCAAAATCTACCGCTCCACTCTAGCCTCGGCCAAGTCGTCCTTCTACTCCAGGATAATCCTGGAGGCGAAGAACAACCCCAGGCTACTGTTCTCTACCACATCCCGACTCCTCCATCCCCCCCGCCACCCCGCGCAGGTCATCTCCTCCAACCTTCACTGCGAGGAGATGCTGGATTTCCTTGAATCCAAAATCAAGGGAATCCGCTCCGCGGTCACTTCCCCTCCAACATCCACCCACCCCCCACCCCCTCCCTCCCACACTCCGACTCCTACCCATCCTCCCCTACACACCTTCGTACCCGTTTCCCCACCCTCTGTCACCAAACTCATCCTGTCCCTGAAACCCACCACCTGCTCCCTTGACCCCATCCCCACTCCACTCCTTATCTCTCAGCTCCACCTCCTTGCCCCACATATCACAGACATCATCAACCTGTCCCTCTCCTCTGGCTCTGTTCCCATTCCCCTAAAAACTGCCACCATCACTCCCACTTTGAAAAAACCCTCCCTTGATGCGTCGCAGCTATCAAGCTACCGGCCCATCTCCAACCTCCCCTTCCTGTCCAAGGTCCTTGAAAGAGTTGTCGCCTCCCAGCTGCGCTCTTTCCTCTCCACCCATTCATTATTCGAACCCCTTCAGTCGGGTTTCCGTGCTGCCCATAGCACAGAAACTGCCCTGGTCAAGGTCACCAATGACATCCTGACCATCTGCGACCAGGGCTCCCTCTGCCTCCTCGTCCTCCTCGACCTATCGGCAGCATTCGATACGGTCGACCACGCTATCCTCCTCCACCGCTTGTCCTCCCACCTCAACCTTCAAGGCCCTGTCCTTGAGTGGTTTAGGTCGTACCTCTCCCACCGTCTTTTCCACAAACGGCTTTTCCTCCAGCACCCGCACTGTCTCGTGTGGTGTCCCTCAGGGCTCTGTCCTCGGTCCCCTCCTCTTCACCCTCTATATGCTCCCCCTTGGTGACATCATCCGCAGACATGGGGTTAACTTCCACATGTATGCGGATGACACCCAACTCTACCTTTCCTCCTCTACCCTCAACTCCACGACCACCGATGTCCTGACAGCCTGTCCGACATCGAGTCCTGGACGAGAGACAACTTTCTTCAGCTCAACGTGCGCAAAACTGAGGCCCTCCTGATTGGCTCACGTCAGCGCCTCCGCACCTCAGGCGCTGACAGCATCAGCATCCAAGGCTGCACTCTCCACCTCTCAAAGCCAGTCAGGAACCTCGGCGTTCTGTTCGACCCTGAGCTGTCCTTTCTTCCTCATATCCGCGCCACAACTGGCACCGCCTTCCATCACCTCCGGAACATCGCCAGACTACGGCACTACCTCACCCCTCACGCTGCTGAAACTCTGGTCCACGCCTTTATCACCTCAAGGCTGGACTATGGGAACTCTCTCCTCGCCGGCCTTCCCGCCACCTCCCTCCACAAGCTGCAGGTCATTCAGAACTCTGCAGCTCGTGTACTGTCCCGCACCAGGCTTCGCGACCACATCACTCCCACCCTCGCTCGCCTCCACTGGCTCCCCATCCCCCAGAGGATCGAATTCAAGATCCTCATCCTCACCTACAAGGCCATTCACGGCCTCGCTCCCTCCTACCTCTCCGACCTACTATCCCCCTACCTACCTGCCCGTACCCTCCGTTCCTCTGGCTCCGGTCTGCTCCACATCCCCCGCCCCAACCGCCCTACCATCGGTGACCGGGCCTTCAGCCTCTCAGCCCCTAGGCTCTGGAACTCCATCCCCCAGTGCCTGCGCCTTACCCCCTCCTTGCTCCCTCCCTTCCCTCCCCTCACCCTGACCATTTCCCCCCTGCTCGGGTCCTGACCCAACTGTCCAGCACCTTGGGACGTCCTCCCGACGTGAAAGGCGCTCTATAGATGAAATCTTGTTGTTGTTGTTCAGAGAAAGAGAGAGATATCCTTGAGTCAGTCAAGAGATGTTGCTGTTTTACTGCATTCCCTATCAGAGACTCAGAATGGCAACTAATAAATTTATTGTTTCAGCCCCCACTGTGTATGATTATCATACAGAGGAATGACATTAGTTCTGTGTATAGTATCGGTTGGCCACGTGGAGGTCAGTGAAGTGTGTCCCCTCTTGCTCATTCCTGTTACTGATAGGAAATCGTGCTCCTGTACCATATATATTGTACCAACATTGGGGTTGAGAACCCTGATGTAAAATTGGAGAAAAATGACACAAGTTGTAGTCAGCAGTGAGAATGATAAAACCTGTGACATATGGTAGACTTTGCTTATTCAGCAATCGGATACAGGTTTAGTACATGTTTATAGACAGGCAGACACACACACACATAGCCTGAGAGAGAACAGAGACTAAAAGCGAGTCGGAGAAAGAGACAGACAGAGCAGAGCGAGTCAGATGCAGACAGAGAGAGGGAGAGAAACTCTATGGTGGGAAAGGGATTGTGTAGGGAGATGAGGGCAAAATGCCGACTGGCACAGTGTGGTATTTAGTGACAATATAACTACTGAGAAAAGATTTTATTAATAAAACTAAGCGTTGTATTTTTTGTGATGATCCAATATACTGTTCAGGTGTACAATGGGACGATTCACAGACTCTCTACTATACTGTGACTTCAGTGAAGTTCTTTCACTTTGCCTCTGGCTTCACATGATAACCAGTGTTATGATTGCTAATTGGCAATTAAACATTTAGACTGTGGTCTTAGTTCTGCTGTCACATTCAGTCATTAATATAATCATTTTTGTTTGATGTGGAGAATTGTTCCACACGGTGATGACCTTTAGAGATGAGAACCTGTAATTAATGCCGGTGATTAAAGGTGAGCCCGTCTGCAAGATAATACAGAACCAGAAAAGGTGCCTAGAAGTTACTCAATCCCAAATAACTATTTGACTTATCCGAGTGGCTATTAACAAATAGCTGTTTGAGCCAATGCGAGTCTGGCAATAGATGCTTCAGGTCGGTCATCCAGGCTATTCTGATTGACTCCATGGTATACTTGGGCTACATCACCAACAGCAATACCAATGTTAAAATTTCCCTGTGTGTAGTAGTGACGGTGTGCAGCTAGTGCTGAACTATCAGGAGACCTCGGGGAAAAAATGACAGATTTGGAAATCCTGCCATGGAATTCCATATTCAGCCCTCAAAGATTTAAAGGTGATGATTGAGGCGTTCGTGACTAAGTTATGTGGAGATGTCATTCTCCAGTGACGAAAACCACTTTTAGCCAAGTCCAAGGGCATGTCGGGTTTATGGCTAGTGTAGTCTTGTAGACTGTTGGGACATTGAGGGAGGAGCAGGCTTCTCCAAGACCTGCTGTCCTGTGGCAATGATATGATGCGCTCACATCGCTTTAGGGTGGTTTCTGAGGGTGTGAAAGGGAGTGTACTGAGATAGAGGGCTTTACTGGCAAACTACAGAAGAGTCTGCCTTATTTCACACCACAATGCCCCTCAGATGGGCCCTTGGCAGTAGTATTTGAAGTTTGGGAGCACAAAACCACCCTTCCCTTTTTAATAATTGGAGGTGGCTCAATCAAATCTGGAATGTCTTAGCCGCCCAGATAAACCCTGTGATTTGAATGTTCAAATACTCAAATTCCCAAGAGTGCATTCAGACAGGGAGCATCTAGACCAGGTGAAGCAGTTTCTTCAGGGTCAGATATGTGCACCAGCACATCATCCACATAAAGCAAGATTCCGTGCTCAGCTCCACCTGTGTACACACTACGGATTTGGCAGAACTCCCGTCTCGTCACTGCAAGAGGTTCTGTTGCAAGGACTACCAAAGGAATATATAGAGGGCATCGAGGATGGTGTCTCTCCATGAAGAGCATAGGCAGAAGAGGAATAACTTTGGAGTGTAATGTGACTGAGGGTTGGGATTACAACACTCTGACACTTAGCAATAGGCCATTTTGTTCAAGGCTGTGAGCCGGCAATCCCACTCCATGCGATCAAAAGCCTTCTTTGTGTCCAGGGATAGCACAGCAGAGTCTTTATTACTATTATTGCAATGATGAATGCAGTGGCAGGTGATATCACAAGCTCAAAGTACTGACAGGACACAGGCCTTGAATCTGCAACTTTCTGACTCAGAAGCAGGAGTGCTACCAACTGAGCCAGGCTGACTCCTGGGATTTAGGAACTGAAAAAGGCCATAACTTCATTAACATGTCCATATTTTGATTCTCAAGACCATCACCACAACCCAACCAACTGCTCACTATTTTCCTTCTCTCTCCAGATCCTTATCTCATTGCCTCTTGATTCAATTCATACACTCCATTTCAGTGTCCTTCCCTGGTAACTTTATCACTCTTTGAGTATAAAGATTTGGGATGACCTCCCTCCTTACTCTTTAACTACCTGCTTTTTAGTTTGTGTGCCTTACATTACTGAACAGAAACTCTGACTGAGAAATCTAACCAGTCTGAGCAGCTGTGGCACAGTAATAGCAGGTAGAAAAAGCAACACGCAAATCACTGGGGATAGGTAATACAAATGTAAGAGGGTTCTTTAGGAATGTGATGAGTGTAAAATACTCAAGCTTCACTTCTGTGTGTTACGAGTTTTCTGGAATGATTTCACACTCACTGCTATTCTGTGTCACACTTTGCACAGAATTAGAACGCATGAAGTAACAGCTACGATACATTCTTCAAGTGCAATCTCGTGTGAAGTGGGTGAATAATACAGTAGGTTCTACTGTAATCCACAAGTGCAATCCACTTCAACACAATGACCCTACAACAACAACAACAAGATTGCATTTATAGAGCGCCCTTCACATCGGGAGGACATCCCAAGGCGCTGGAAGTTGGGTCGGGACCCGAGCAGGGGGGAAATGGTCAGGGTGAGGGGAGGGAAGGGAGGGAGCGAGGAGGGGAGGGAGCGAGGAGGGGGTAGAGAGTCGAGAGGGGAGCTGAAGGCACGGTTGAAGAGAAAGGTCTTGAGACCGGCCTTGAAGGAGGAAAGGGAGGAGGCAACGCGAAGGCACTGGGGGAATGGAGTTCCAGAGCCTGGGGGCTGAGAGGCTGAAAGCCCGGCCACCGATGGTAGGGCGGGGGATGTGGAGCAGACCGGAGCCAGAGGAACGGAGGGCATGGGCAGCTACCTGGGGGGATAGTAGGTCGGAGAGAATGAATTAGAGAATGAATCCCATTTTCTATATACTTGGGAAAATATCTAGTGTCAAGGTATCCTCCCGGGTGTTAACATCCTTTTTCCAGTTTCTGCAGATCCCTTCAAAATATTTTTCTCTGAACAAGGAATGCTGATGACATAAATAGGGAATTGGCTTGGTGGAGCTAATAATAAAGAGATTCTAAGCAATATCTTCTTTACAGAAGATCCAGGTGTCAGCATGGTTCAATTGGTAACACTCTTGCCTCTGTGTCAGAAGGTTGTGGGTTCAGCCTCATACCAGCATTTTGAGCTCATGGTCCAGTGAGATACTCCACTGCATTATTGGAGGTTCTGTCCTTTGGATGATACATTAAATGGATGTCTCATCCATCTGCCTGTTCAGGTGGTTATTCAATATCACATTGCACTATTCACATAGAAGGCAGTTTCTAATATCTTGGACAACAATCCTTCAGATAAAATTGGTCGTTCATTTCATGGCTTGTTGTGGACCATTGCTATGTGAAAATGTGCAGCTGCATTTGTCTGCAAATACAGTCACAACATTTTATAGAAATTGTGTGAAGTTCTTTGAGATGTTTTTGACATTATAGGTGTATCAAGTTGAAGGATTATTATTATCCACACTACCTTCTCAATGTTTCGATACATGATAAGGTGCTATATCAAATGCAAAGATCATTATGATCTTCCCATTGCAATGTCAGTTATCAGTGTCATTTCTGACAACCTGTTCGAGTCATTAATTGCTATCTGCAAAGAAATGCTTCTTGGTGTCTATCCTGACATTGCTCTTCATAAACACTGAACATGTGCTCTCTTGACCTGATGTCTTTTTGCATCTGACATTATTGTTCTGGGTTTATTGGGGCTGATGGCATGAAGCTGAACTGACGCGTAGAATTATATTGGCAGGATCACGGAGCACTCGGGGCAGTGAATGTTTGTATTTTTTATTGATGTTTCTTCAATTCTGTTTGATAGCCTCAGTTGGTCCTTCAGACCATTTACCCCATGATCTACAAGCATTCAATGGGGTCTAAATTTCAGCATTTGTTACTGAAATTCCTTAAAATCACAAAAGAATACAGAGTTCTTCCAGTAACTGGAATTACATTGTGGAATTTTCATCCTGGGATGAAGTATCCCCAATGTTTAAAAAATAAAATAATCAGAAAAATGAACATAGAAGTTGCTCGTAATTCTTTGAAATCAGTTATCATTGAGTAAATGTTTGTGTGTCAGCCTTGCTTAGTTGGTAGCACTCTCGTCTCTGAGTCAGATGGTTCAAGTGGGTCTTGGAACTCATATAATCTATGTTGACCCTCCAGTGCAGTGATGCGGGTGAACTGCATTGTCAAAGGTGCCATTTGTGGAGTCCTGTAGCTCAGTGGTTAGAGCACTCGCCTTGCAGGCAAGACATCTGGGTTCAATTCCAGGTAGGGTGAAACCATGGGCAAGTTTCCTTACTCCACACGCCTAATAATAATCCCTCCAAAACAAAACAATAATAAATTGGTCATTTCAATCCACAATTGTTTGTGGGACACTGCTGTGCGCAATTGGCTGCTGCGTTTCGCCCACAAATATACAGTCAATTCACTTTACAGTATATTCTGTGAAACGCTTTGAGACGTCTAGAAGACGTGAAAAGCGCTATATCAAATGCAAGGATTATTATTATTATCCATAGGCTGAGTTGTTAAATTGAGGTCCCATCTGCCTGTTTGGTGAATGCTAAAGATTCCATAACAGTATTTGAAAAGAAAAGGGAATTTCCTGACCAGCGATCCCCCAAATAACATTTACCATTTATTTCATGGCTGTTTGTGGAACATTGCTGAGTGCAAATTGTTTACTGGAATTGCCTACAAAATACACAGTCAATACACTATACAATGGACCTTGTGAAATGCTTTGAGATGTCTTCTCAACATGAATGTAGCTATATCAAAAGTAAGGATTATTATTCGTTTATATTTGAAGAAACAGATTATCAAGAGTGCAGGAAAGAGTTGAGAATTGAGATTAGTTTTCTCTTTAGGTTTATACTTAAAAAAGAATAACTAGTATTTGAGTTGTAAATATGGGATGAACATTGCACATTCTGTGACAGTCAGGATTTTGTTGGACCCCAGCTGGCAGTTGGGGTAAGGAGGGGTGGAGGCCAGGGGGGTGGGGGTGGGAGGGTGACCAAAGGCACGGTCGAAGAGGAAGGTCTTTAGACGGGACTTGAAGGAGGCAAGAGAGGTTTTGAGGTGGAAGGATTGCAGAATAGAGTTCCAGAGTGTGGTGGTATAGATGCTGAATGCCCGCCCGCCAGTGGTGGGACGAGAAGTGCTGGGGACCTGAAGCAGTCCACCGAGTGGAGGGAGCGGACAGGCTGATATGGGGTTAGGAGATTGGAGAGGTAGGGGGAAGCAGGACCATGAGTCATTGAAGTTCCTCATGATGATTAACACATCACCACAGTTTGCTATTATCACCCTGCAGTTTTTAGAGAACTTGTACTACAACAAACGCACAATTTGAAGTTTAACCTCTGCTGAATTGGTCATCTAGGCTCACAGTAACAGACTCGGATGGGGTTGAAAACTCAACGACCGCTACAGTGACTGTCATTAAACCCGTGGACTATCCCCCGGTTGTAAATCCTGGTCCGAATCAAGCCATAACCCTGCCCCATAACAGCATCACACTGAATGGAAACCAGAGCAGCGACGATTTCCAAATTGTGGACTACGAGTGGTTGCTCAGCCCTAATAGCAACGGCAAGGTGGTTGCAATGCAGGTTAGTGTACCACAAAGGTTGTTACTGTGCTTTACATTAGAAACAAGGTGATTGGCTTCCGATCATGAGGTGAATGGGACATCTCACAAACAGATCATTGTCACATCACACTTTTTATGAAATGATGCATATTTTCATCCATTTTTACATACTGGCTATGGAGCTGAACCCCTCCCCTTCGTCTACAGCACGGCATTTTTCAGATGGGATTTAAAGATAGACAACTAGGGGGTAAAACTGAAGGATTGAGGCAGTTCCAGTGTCTGAAGACAAAGCTGTCGATGGTGTTGTGGAAGGGTTGGAGAACACATAGGCCTGTTAACTGAGCAAAAGGGGTGGACAGAAGAATGGGATACAAGCAGGTCAGAATGATAAGAGAGATGCTAGGGCCTGAAGGCATTTATTTGTATGTGAGGGTGAGGATCTTGAAGACAAGCTGTTTAGAAACAGGGAAACAGTAGAGCCTGGTGAGGATTGAGGTTGTAGACATGCAGTTTGTTATGGGTGAGGGTATGGATGGTGGGGTTTTCTATTAGCTGGACCTTATGGATGGTTGAACTGGAGAGACCAGTGATGAGTGCATCAGGGAAATCAAGGTGGGGGTAAAAAGTGTGGAGAAAGATCTTGACAGCATTTAATGTGAGATAGGGATCGAGGTGGGCATTGTGGCGCAGTGGAGGAAAACAGTCCTGGTCAGGGATCGATGGTGGGGTAGGAAGGATAGCTGAGAATTGATCCAGTGCTGGACCAAGATTGCTGAATTCGGGACATAGATATGTGATTGCAAATTGAATAATCTAAGTAAATTGATCGAGCAATCCATGTACAATAATAAATTTGAGTCAAAAAAGACTTTTTACATATAAATATCCTATAAATAATCCAGCATACTGTCAGTTATTAAACTAATTAAATAAACCTTGCTTTTCTTAGAAGTGTATTGCTAAATCTTTATGTCCTTATGTAATTGGGAGTAATCTCAGGTGAATTCACGCCATATGGCTAAGTTTCCTGACTATAATTGCACGTGTGTTGTGTTGATCAGAAGGTGCGGACTCCTTATCTCCAGCTGTCTGCGATGCAGGAAGGAGATTACACGTTTCAGCTCACACTCACTGACTCTGCCGGACAGAAATCGTCTGCCGAGGTCACTGTTATTGTCCAGCCGGGTGAGTTCACACCAACGAGACCTCAGATCTTCAGAAGGGACGATGTCCACCTTCTCCACACAAGATGATACTTTACAACAGTGGGCTGTTAGTACCGAGGCGATTTCCTTGATAAGATAAGGAAATGGGAACTCCACTCACAAACGATTTACATTCAAAACAGAGTGAAATGAGTGACATATTGCTGGTTAGCCATGTTGTTTCCTTATTAAGGAATTCCATTAGAAACCACAGCCTTTTGTGTGTATGTTTATGTTTATGTGTGCGTGTGCACATTGTGTGTGTATGTATGTGTGGGTGTGTATATGGTATTTGTTGGAATTAGGATGCTGGGGTATAGTATCTAAGGATGCTGGTTGATCTCCAGTATATTGTCTAAGTGGCTTTCACTCATTTTGTGTTAAATGTTGTATCACTGAGCTCTTTTCCCTTGGAATGATGATATATCAGGAGTTTACTGTTCTTCAGACTAATAATGTGGAACACACTGTGCACCGCCCCCCCACCTCTCCCAGAGGGCCCCAGGAGCACAATCAATTAGGAAGATTAAAAGAGAAATAGATAGATAGTTGGAAAGTCAGGATATTGGGGAATATGGAGAAAAGGCAAAGAAATTGGATGAAAAGATTTCCCATTGTCTAATAAAATGGCAGAAGAGACAAGACAAGCAAAATAGTAATAAGCCTAGAATTTGATACAATGCCTTCTCATGTTGTTGAAACCTCTCAAAGCGCTTCATAGGATTGAATGCGTTGTATTCAGCACACTCATGATGATGTTAAAGGTTGGATTGCAATTGCAAACATTTCAGAGCCTGTTGTTTTGCATGATGGATTGTGAATGTATAATAATCCATTGTCACTCTTCTTTCTGCAGAGATTAATAGCCCCCCAGTAGCAGTTGTTGGTCCTGACAAGGAATTAATAAGGCCAGTGGAAAGTACCACTCTGAATGGGACTGGTAGTACCGATGATCAGGCTATTGTCTTGTACCATTGGGAGCAAATCAGGTAAACAGACAATGGGGCAAAGACTTGATTGCTTTAATTTCCACCAACTGGGGATACGGAGTTTAAGTCATTTTGCCGTGGAGTCCCATAATTAATTGGTTAGAGTACTTGCCTCGCAAATGAGAGGACACGGGTTTGATTCCTGGGCAGGGCGAAACCTTAGGCAAGTTTCCTTACTCCACACATCTCTGTTTACTTAGCAATAAGTAGGAACCTGGTTGTTAGTCGATTGGCGGATCGCTTTCCGGGGGCAATATTCCTTTAAATAAAAAGTGGCCACTCAATGCACGACTATTTGTGGGACACAGCTGTGCGCAATTGGTTGCTGAGTTTCACCCACAAAATATACCCAACCCTGGTGGGGCTTGAGCCCATATAGTATAGGAAACCCTGGCCTAGACGATGAGCTCAAAGACCTGATGTATGGCTTGAGTTCCGCATTTAAAAGAAATTGGATAACTAGTTGAGGAAGCATTGCCTCAAAGGATTTGGGGAAGAGCAAAGGAAAGAGATGAGTAGATAGCTCCAGTGGAGGAGCTAGCACCAGCTCAGATACATTCTATTATTCTACATTTATTGATCCTATGATTTTCCTGCCACTCTACCCCCGCACCCCCACCCCTTCTTTTGACTTGTTGTTTTTCTTCTCCTGGGCACTCTCTGATATTTTGCTCAAGTCAACATTATTTCACAGCTGTTGTGGGTGGGAGAGAGGAACTCACAGACAATCAGAGCCTATCTACCTGTGTTCATCCCAGCGAGGATCTCAGGCTAGCCATCAGGAATGCGATTCCTTGTTCATTACTGGGAATTGCTAGTTTTGGGAAAAAAAATTCAAATGATTTGGATTTTTCACAAGGTTTGACACTAATGATGTTTAAGAGAAATGGAGGTACTAATCAGGAGTTTCAGAGATTGTAATTGTAACATAATGAGATGTCCTCCAGATGTGAAAAGTGCTATAATAATAACAATAATGATAATAATCCTTGCATTTGATATTTGTGGACAAAATGCAGCAGCCAATTGCGCACAGCAGTGTCCCACAAACAGTCGTGGGTTGAAGAGACCAATTTATTAATTTTTTTTCTTGAGGGATTAGTATCAGGAATGTGGAGTAAGAAAACTTGCCCAAGGTTTCACCCTGACGGGAATTGAACCTAGGTCTCTCACTTGGGAGGTCAATGCTCTAACCACTGAGCTACAGGACTCCTATATAAATGTAAATTATATTGTAATTACATCTATTAGATGCCACCTGTGGGTAAAAGAAAAGTGATAATTGGATGTTAACAGAGGGAAGGAAGCTCGTTGTTGCAGTGAGTCCAGTAATTTCTGTTGTGAATCTATATATCTGTTGTTTATTTTCAGTGGTCCTGGTGCTACAAGGATTGAGAACAGTGACAAAGCATTGGCTACAGTGACAGGGCTCCAGGGCGGGAGGTACCAGTTCAGACTGACAGTGACGGACCAACATGGGCTCAGCAGCTCCAGCACAGTTACCGTCGCTGTCAGAGAAGGTCAGTAAATTTTGCCTTAGTTCTACTGAGATTGAGTTGCCTGTCCAACGCAATCTGGCATTCGTTTGTATTTCTTTTTCTATTTGCTGGGTAATATTGGTATTCTTCCGGTCCTTGTGAGAACTACGTCTCATCAGTCAAAATACAATCTGTAACACACAACGTTCACACTTACTGCATTGTATGTTGACCTTCGCCAGAAATGAACTACAAATTGCCTTTTCACACTTTTACAACAACAACTTGCATTTGTACAGCACCCTTCATGCCTTGGAGCGCTTAACAAAGGTGTATTTTCACGCCGAGCCAAGGAGAAAGCGGAGGTGATTATAGGCATGATCGAAACCAATATAACATCAATGTTGTTGCTTTAGTAAGTCAGTCATGATACAGAGTGAATGTGGAGAACACCGATCACAAGATCACAAGAGAGGTTTGGATGAAGGAGGCCCTTTGGCGCAATTAATCTCTTCCATCCAAAATACTCACCCTACTGTCCTCCCATCACAGCAGCAAACTCTTTATTAAATAAGTCCAGTATCCTAGCCTCGACCATCCTTCCTGGCAATCCATTTCAGTCATTAACTCACCCACTGCATAAAGAGATCTGAAGCAGAGGGATTTATTGAGCAAGAACGTATTAGTCTTCTGTAAATATAGAAACGTTTTGCACAGTTTGTGAACCAACAGGATTTTTTCAGTTTTGTTGGAAGTTCAGCTAAAGGAAGTTAAGCTCATCCAGGACACTATGTCTGATTGGTTGTCAGTCAGCACAACAATTGTCCTGGGATTGAAGGCAGGAGCAGTGAGGGAGAGCTGTCTATCATCAGGTGGAGGTGGATAGATATTTGTTAGGTAAGGCATCAAGGGATATGGGGCAAAGGCGGGTAATTGGAGTTGAGGTACAGATCAGCCATGATCTAATAGAATGGTGGAACCGGCTTGAGGGACTGTATGGTCCACTCCCGTTCTTGTGTTCCTATCAGTATTACTTGTTTAATCATTTTGTTCTATGTTTCTAAGAAACCAACAGTCCTCCGGTATCCAATGCTGGGGGGAATCACATCCTGGTGCTGCCTAACAGCTCCATTGCTCTTGATGGGTCTAAATCCACAGATGACCAGGGCATCGAGTCTTACCTTTGGACCAGAGGTGGCCTGAGTCCAGCCGCAGGGGTGAGTATTAAATTCTGTGACCCTACACCTCAATCCCACTTAGAAATGTTAATATTTGTCCTTTACATTGCTCATGAAAATTGGTCATTCACTTCAATGGCTTTCATTGTTGTGTGAAAATTGGCTGCCACATTTGTGTACAAAATACACACTGTGTCATTGTACTCTACAATAAATCCTGTGAAGTTCATTGAAATAAGAACTGTTAGAAAAATAAAATTGTGGCGGGGGTGGGGGGGACTAACATTGTGGAACATTGTGTGTAATTTTGTTGTTGTTGTTGACTAAGAGTATCTCTGAGCGAAGAGGAGTAACAGTATGAGGTAAAAGATTAACACTAAATAATGAGGAGTAATGGTGTTGGGTATGTGGGCTACAGATACACAATCAGATATGGAGTGAGAGTGGGGGTGATAGCTTCAGTGGGGAACTACTGCAGAACATATATCAAATGACTAACTTCAGTGCTGAAATTTCTTTTTTTAAACCAAGGAATGCACTTTGGAACATCTCACCCATGTATTTCCACTTCCACTCTGGTTCAGTAGCTAGGCCAGCTTTCAATTTTAATTATTTGCCATTAATGAATGCCATAAGCTTTGACCTTTAAAGTCTCTTATACGGAAGTCTTATTGAACCCTTTCCTCATAGTAGTTGACATTTTCTAACAGTTAAACAGTGCTAGTAATCATGCTGTGTCCGCTGCAGGATGTAATGTATGGATCGGACCGAGAGGCAGTGCTCCAGTTGACCAACCTTGTGGAAGGCAAATACATCTTTTACCTGAAAGTCACAGATGCGAAAGGAGAGTCGGACATAGACAGCACCACTGTGGAAGTACGGCCCGGTACGAAAGTGGACAATCTGCTGATAGATCATCGCTAAGGGCCTGTTTCTTCCTTAATTTTTGATCCCCTTCAATTTTCTTCCCTTCTCCTGTGAAGGTCTGACTCATGCTGGGGTTCCACTGGCGTGTCTTCATGTGTAAGGTTAGGCAGTGAGTATTAAATTATGGGTGACATTGTACGCCAGTCCTAGCTTCATTGTGCAGTCAACTCTCACAATGTCACACTAAATAACATAAGAAAAGCACAGATACAGGTGGCCATTCACCTAACGCACCCTTACCTTTTAATATGTATCAACCTACCTGATGTCCTTCAAAATAGCCCTCAAATAACCTAAATAGAATGCATTTGACTGTTCACCACCCCTCTCCCATTCCTCCAATATTCTTTGCAGATTATAGGCTATTTACTTTTAACTTCATGCAAACACAATCTCAAGGCATCCAACACACACAGATTTCTAAAAACATTGATTGGGAATTCCTATGTAAGACTCATTGTGAATGATCTCTGTTTCTTGTGGTCAGAGTACATGGGACCCCTTTAAACACAGGAATAAGACAAAAACAAAGTTGGCTACACAGTTGGGTTGGTTCAGCAATGTGGACAGACGTGCCTGTGATCTGAGATATGCCAATCAATGTTATCCAATATGAAAAGAAAATCAGTTTGGGAGAAATAGGCACCATTTACTCTTCCTTTCCTCTTGCTCTCCAGTTGCTAAGGTGGTCCACATGTGTACTGTAACGCCAATCATAGAGCCTTAGAAATGTACCTCACCGTAGAAGGCCATGTGATCCATTATATTAACGCTCTTCTGACGCCAGCAGCTATCCGGATCCCAATTCCCAACCCATCCTTGGCATGTGCTTGCCTCATTCCATTGGTGGATCGCTTTTCTGGGGGTAATAATTCCTTCAGAAAAAAAATCGGTCTCTCAATCCATGACTGTGGGACACTGCTGTGCGCAATATACCGTCAATTCACTTTACAGTATATTCGGTGAAGCGCTTTGAGACATCTCGAAGGTGTGATACTGCGCTATACCAAATATAAGGATTATTATTATTACTTGCTATAATGGAGCCTGTTCCAACAGCCACTACTAGCACATTATTCAATGACCCTATGCCCTTGCTTTACAGATCCCAGGGAGGAGGAGCTGGTGGAGCTGGTGCTGCAAGTTGGTATTGGCAGCCTGAGCGAGAAGCAGAAAGACACACTGGTGCGGCAGCTCGCTGTGCTACTCGGGGTCCTGGATTCAGACGTTAAGGTGCAGAAGATACAGGCACACTCTGATTCAAGGTAGCAAAGCAGAAGCCAGTCTTAACACGTAGAACTGTGACTTGTATCTGTGAGCAACACTTCTTTCATAATATTTTGTAAGGGGCGTCTTCTTGGAGCTGAGCTTGGCAACAGAATGTTGAACAGATTCCTCCTTGTGGCATTGATATTCATGTTATCTTCTCAAAAGAGCCTGCAGGCATATAACTGTACTGCAGTTCCGATACTGCCTCATTTGTAGCAGCATCAAACAAACTAATGGGATCCTCAGCGATATAGAAATCTACAGCACAGAAGGAGGCCATTTGGCCAGTCGAGCCTGCACCTGCTCACAGAGCAAGGATATCGCTTCAATCCCATGAGCTTTATCCTCATACCCCTTCAAGCCCCTCTCTTTCATATGCCTGTCTACTTCCCTCTTTAAAGCTACAATAATAATAATCCTTGCATTTGATATAGTGCATTATCATACCTTCGAGATAATAATAATAATAATAATAATCCTTGCATTTGATATAGCGCTTTTCACGTCGGAAGGACGTCTCAAAGCGCTTCACAGAATATATTGTAAAGTGAATTGACTGTATATTTTGTGGGCAAAACGCGGCAGCCAATTGCACACAGCAGTGTCCCACAAACAGTTGTGGATTGAAGTGACCAATTTATTAATTTTTTAAGGAATTATTACCCCTGGAAAAGCAATCCACCAATCGACTAACAACCAGGTTTCTACTTACTGCTAGGTAAAGAGAGGCGTGTGGAGTAAGGAAAATTGCCCAACATTTCACCCTGCCGGGAATTGGGACGTACTTTTGATATTGCTCCTTTCACATTGGGAGGACGTCTTAGCACCAGCGCGATTTATATTGTGCCCTTCATGCGGGGCAGCATCTCGAATCACTTAACAGTGGCGTAGCCTGACTCTGAGCCGGGGGAAGGGAGGAGATGACTGTAAGCATCGTCGAAGAGGAAGGTCTTCAGTTATAGTCTAAAAGAGTGGAAAGAGGGGACAAGGTGGAGGGGTTGAGGGAGAGAGTTAATTTGGTGTTCAACTCTGCCAACGTGCAGCACTCCAAGACACTATTCTGCATGAAAGGCGCTATATACATTCTTGTTGTACATCAGGAATTAGTCTGAAATCCCTTCACACCATTTGTTGGTGCAAATCCACTTCCTCAGTCTAGTAGCCTTGCACTAACAGGCAACTCTGGGGCTCATTTTCTGATCACCAAAATAGTTACAGTATAATTTACATTTATATAACATCTTTCACGTCAGGAGGACGTCTCATTTACTAACCTCAGTGGGTGAGAGGATCTGATATTGTACTGGTTGGTAAACGACTTTGCTGGTGTGATCTTATAATGAGGAAATTGTATGCCAAGTTGCCATAGTGCAGGGTTGCTAAGGTTGCAAATGCACCTACTGACAAATAAATTAGTTACGTGTGTGAAAGAGTCACTGGATTGGACACATTCGGACTCTGCTTTGGCGATACTTGAAGCATGCAGGCATTTTTATGCACATGTACAGTTGGTGGGCATTGTGAGGTCTTGAGCAAAAGCCAGAGCACCTAATAGTGAGGTTTAGTATTCAGAGATTGTCTTGCTGATCTGCCGGAACTCTGCTCTGCTAGCAATCATACTCCCAACTTCCATGAAGTTGGATTGCATCCAAAGGAGTTACCAGCAGGACATAAATTGAAATTGGAGTCTGAGACACACATCATGTACATAACAGAGTTCAGTAGAGGCACAATAAGGATGCTTACTTCAGGAGATCAAGGAACCCATGCTGGATAGGTGGTGATGCTTCTCTAAAGTTGGGGCAAAAGTGCATTGCTGAAGCCGAGTGGAGGAGGCTTCAAGCTGCAGCTGACTGCAATGACCTGGGAGAGCTTGGTGCTGAGACTGGGAGCTAAAAATATTCCAAATTTCCTGCACTGACATCCCTGACATGGGCAAGCACAAAGGTTCACTTCAAAATAAATTAATTGGGAAATTCCAAATTCCTGTGTCCTGGACACTGCAGAACAGGAACTTTATTGATGGGAGATGTTGGCATATTCGGTAGTTCCTTTGCTTCCACTGTCAGAAAACATCAATGAAGAAATACTTACACTCTGTAAACTTTATTTAATAACTGTAGTTATTAACTAAAAATGCATTCTGGGATGAAATGACTTCTTCATCCAAACTCCCTTTGTGATCCTGTGACATGTTCTTGCAGATTTAAGATCTACGTTGCACAGACTGTCCCTGGCTAATAGTTTTGTGTCCTGTGTGTCCCATAGTACAGTGTTGACATTTTACGTGCAAGGCGGTGAACCGTACAGAGTGTATAAGGGGGTGGATGTGGTCAGGAGTCTACAGAAACGACTGATGAGAGAGAAAGTGGACTTTCTACTCTTCAGACCTCTGAGAATAGACACAGTTGGTGAGTTTTAGCATTTTGATATTTTTACCTCATTGTTTTTATTTTTAATCAGCCGGGTATCAGAAACCCATCACCAGACAAGATTGTCAGTTAATTTACTGACTCCTTGACGGTCATTTATCGTAATCTCTTCTTGCTGTTGATGGAGTTTCTTATCAAGATCTCAGCCAGCGTTAAGAATTTTACTGGTGACTTGAAATTCGCTCACTTTATTTTTTCTTTTCCACTATTTTTGCCTTCAATTTCCTCCCTCCTCTCCTGAAAGTGTTTGACTGCCTTTTCCCCCCACTGTGGCGGTACACTTCTCTGCTTGTACCTTGGCAGTGTGATCTTATAATGGGAATGCAAAATGATACCTGAGGAAGGAGGGTGAATGAAAGGGAAATGTTTTAAGCTAGTTTGTGATTCTTTCCCTCAGTTCTTGTTAACTCTGCAATTCAAAGGCTCGATGGGTAGGGTGGGTCTAACTCGACAAGCAGCAGCAAGTTTGCCAGACAGTGGTCGAAATGGAAAGCTTGTTTTAGCTGGTTAAACTCCCCTAACTCATACTCTGCAGACCCCAAGCCTTGGTTCTTGCCAGCCTGCGCTAATACTGGGATTAGGTAAGCAGGGTGTGTCTCTCTAGGAAGAGAGTCCATACTCCGTTCCAGACACGGAGAAATTTCCATTCATATGTGGAAGTCTTCGTAATTTGGTTTGGATACTTTAAGTATGATGATGAGTTTCCCTGTGTATCAGGTACCTAGCTAACCAGAACAAAATATATTGATGTTACTCAGATGGCAATTTGTTTTAACAAAATACTATTGCATTTTCAATGTTTACACTGGACTTTCCAGCATATATAGTAAGCACATTTGTTATAATAAATAATAATAATCCTTATGTTTGATATAGCACCTTATCGCATTGTTGAGACATCTCATTAAGGGCTTCACAGAATATATAATAATAATCCTTATCATTTGAGATAGCGCCTTATGTCGTTGAGATGTCTCAAAGCGCTTTGCAGAATATATTGCAGAGTGGATTGACTGTGTTTTGTGGGCGAAACGTGGTGTCTAATGTGTCTGTTCTACTTCTAGTCTGTTTTCTGAAGTGCTCAGGGCATGGATACTGTGACCCCTTTAGCAAGCGCTGCATTTGTTATCCGTTCTGGATGGAAAATCTGATGCGACGCTACTTTGATAATGGAGAAAGCAATTGCGGTGAGCAGCAATGATACTTCTTGCATTTCTTTATCACTTTATCACTTTGGAAAGTCTCAAAACACTTCAATGTCATTGGAGTAAAAATGAGGTCCTTGGTTCTCAAAACAATCTTAAGAAATGAGTCAACGTTTTCGAGTAGCAATGTAGATTTTATCAAATTCTAAAATTCCTGGAAATGTTGTGCACATTGAGGAGAGAGCTTACTAACCAGGTGCCTTCCCAACACTATCAAACTTTCCATTGAACAATAAAGAAAGGATTTGTATTTTTATATGGCTTTATAACCGGGAATCATCTCAAAGCTCTTGATAGTCTTGACAGTGATTACTGTCAAGTGCAGTAAGCAATTTTATAGGCAAACTCAGCAATTATTTGGACGCAGCTAGGTCCCACAAACTGCATGACGTGAACAACTAATTTATCTAGATGTTAACCAGGATACCAATCTTTTCAAATAGTGCAATAACATCCACCTGGACAGGCAGATGGGACGTTGGTTTAATGTATTATCTGAAAGACAGGTCCTCCAACAATATGGCGCTCCCCAGCTGGAGTGGCTGCTTAGCCTATGAACCCATGTTGTTTTGTATAGAATAAGCCCGTTATAATGCGCCTCACTGCATAGCTGGATCAAATGGGTTGAAGAGCCTGCTTCACCTGAACCTCTCTGGCAGTCTTCTGGTTTACACTGAACTACAAAGGCAGTTGCCTCCCTTTTACTATCCCAGAGCATCAAAAACTTGTGTGCTTTATACCCTGCTGTTCATCTCTCTACAGAGTGGAGTGTCCTGTATGTTGTTTTGTCAGTGTTTCTAATCATCGTGACATTGGGAGGAATCTGCTGGACATGTGTTTGTTGCTGCAGAAGGTAATACTATTAATAATCCTTGCATTTGATATCTCGCTTTATCACAAAGTGCTTTATTTGTGCTTATTCACTTTATTTGTGCTTATTACAAAGCGCATCACAGAATACACTGTAAAGTGAATTGGCTGTGTATTTTGTGGGCATAATGTGGCAGCCAATTGCGCACAGCAGTGTCCTACATACAATTGCGGATTGAGTGATCACATTCTAAGGAATTTTATCCCTGGAAAAGCGATCCATCAATTGACAAACAACCGGGTTCCTACTTACTGCTAGGTAAACAAAAGCTTGTGGAGTAAGGAAACTTGTCCAGTGTTTCACCCTACCGGGAATTGAACCCAGGTCCTCTACTTGCAAGGCGAGTGCTCTAACCACGAAGCTACAGGACTCCACAATACTATTGCACATCCAGAGAATCAGCAGCAGTGGGTGGGTTACTGATCTAACAGTGTCAGACCTTTGTCTGTGTCTCATCTACAGGAAGCGAACCAAAGTGAGGAAGAAAAATAGATACACCATCCTGGATAACATGGACGATCAGGAGCGCATGGCGCTGAGACCAAAATACGGTTTGTGCTGTTCCCACAAATAAGATGAAGAGATGGGACTTTATCATTTTAAATAATATGAATCCATTGAACTCACATGTTGCTAAATTGAAGCTTTTAACACACTACTTATTGGACAATTTTGTATGTGGGTGGTCTGATTCATTTCGTTGTTGGCTGGGCCAAGAGAAAATTATGGAATTATTTGCCAAAAATTGTGGGGAAATTTGATACATTTTGCATTAGATTGTGGGGGGTTAATTGGTGTTATTGAGAGGCATATTTTACTGCTAACCTACATTTTTGTACCTACCTGATTGTTTGGGAGAGGCCAGAGGTGAGACCCTCACTCTGGGAGAGGAGTGAAAAGCCAAATGAAGTGGTGGCCGGGAACCTGTCATTTTCGTGCACTTTGCGCCCATTGTCCAGCGATGTTAAAGCAAACAAACAAAATAATGGCCCAAAATGTATCCCAAAGGCCGCCTGCAATCTACGATCACATGAAGCACTGAGCTAGCAGCCTCTCAGTTTGACAAAGGGGTAACAGTCTAGTAGTTATTTATAATTACCAAAGTTTAATGTGCTCGGTTTCAGAACAGTGGGGTTCTCATAGCCCTCTTCTGATATGGTAGGAACAGCCCACTCCTCTTTCTCACCCCCAACATCCCATTCTGAATGTCAATATCCCGAAGTATTTTTTAGCACAGGAATCAGTTGACTTGCTCCCTCCACACCAGCTCACCTCGGAATTTACGAAAGTTTAGTTTTAATTTTGTAGCTGGTTAGCAAGAGAGTGCAATCGAAGTAAATCGTTCCAGTGGAGGAGTTGACACCAGCACGCACACAATGGCCTCGTTCTATGCTGTAAACGTGTGCTTCTGGTTCTAATAGGTGCAAATTATTATTATAATTATAACGGTCCTTGCATTTGAGATAGCGCCTTATCACTTCAGAGACGTCTCAAAAGCGCTTCACAGAATATACTGTAAAGTGAATTGACTTGTATATTTTGTGGACAAAACGCGGGCAGCTAATTGCCACGACAATGTCCTACAAACAGTCATGGATTGAGTGACCACATTATTATTATTATTTATTTATTTTGTAGGGATTATTACCCCCGGAAAGCGATCTGCCAATCGACTTAACAACAGTGCTCTTACTTACTGCAAGGTAAACCGAGGCGTGTGGAGTAAGGAAATTTGCCTAAGGTTTCACCCTGCCCGGGAATCGAAACTGGGTCCTCTCGCTTGTGAGGCGAGTGCTCTAACCACTGAGCTTACAGGTTCTCATGGGTGTGACCTGTTTGTTCACTGTTGTTCTCCTCAGGTCTGAAGCACAAAAGCACAGAACACAACTCGAGTCTGATGATCTCCGAGTCTGAGTTTGACAGCGACCAAAACACCCTCTTCAGCAGAGACACTGTGGAGAAGGGGGGTCAGAAAGCTGCCAACGGCTCACTCAAAAATGGAGTCTCCTTCAGCTCTCATCCCAAAAACAGGTAGATCCCAGAGCAAATGACTACCTGCATTCCCAATGAACTTAACCTTTCAGTACAAAACTTTACCCACAATCATCCACTACTTGGTTTAGCAAAAAAAAAGCCTTTTCACAACTTTAAGAGACTTTCCGAGGCTTATAAAGAAACAGCCCAAGGAAGGGAGAGGAGCTTTGAGTTTCATGCTCAACATTGCTATCCTGGCAGCAAAAGTATCTGACATGAACTGGCTTTTGGGGCAACATATCTTCTAAATGTGCTTTCAGCTTCCTGTAGATCTAGAATGACTAGACTTTATTATTAAACTTGGTCAAAGAAGGGATAACTGGGTCACTGTTGAGAGAAGCCTGCAGCCACACAACCCAGTATATGCAGAATTTTCTGCAGGTGATTCATTGCTCTCCAAATGTGCAGGGCGGCTCAAATTGTTACACTGGACACGGCTTTACAATGTGCGACTCGGGATGTGTCTAAAAAGCTTCAGCAGAGTTTGGAGGGATATTCTGAAGTGCTTTTTAACTGTAAAGATTAAGTCAGCTGCAATAATAAACAATCATTCGAATCTCAAAAGAGAAAAATAACTGTACAGCAAGGAAAAAACACAATTATTCATGTAATAGTGTACAGGTTAGCCGCAATGTTTGTCTTTCACTGTGCTTTTAATGCAAAGATCAGTACAACGTAGAGACGTGGCTTCTTGTACGATTGGTTTGTGGAAACTTTGTTTTTCCTGTATACACTGATTAAAAACCAAGGGTTTGATGGACATGAACATCTCTTTCATTGATGCTCTTCATTTGTTTTCTTACCTGTGAACTATGAGTAATGGTTGCCATCTAGTGGTTCCTTACTGCTTGCTGCATGATTATGCAGTTTGTGATGTTTGGGTCTCTCTCGAGTGAACATAGCTTCATGTGTGCTTGGTGGTGAGGGTTATGCAGCACGAATCGCACTTCTTAATATCGGAACCTGAATTGTCAGGGTACAAAGTCAATTATGTTAAGGCAGGTGCAATCACTTTCAGTCTTATAAAGTGAGTTTTTTTTTTAATTGTTCTGTCGAAATGGAACAACCCTGCTTTTGGTATCTGTGACATAGCGATCGCTTCGGACCTGATTCATCAATACTCTTTGTGCCAAATAGTGGGGTTATTTTGAGCTGTGATCCAGTCCTCATCAGTAATTAGTTGGACACCACCATAGCTCTTTGATTGGCAGTGGAAAGAGAATGCTTTATCTCAACGATGTTGAGCAACATTCAGAACCAGTTCCAGAAGTGAGAGGACAGACAGCACATTAACCCACTGGAATTTACACTCTTGAGATTCCAGTTTGGACTGAAACCTGATTGTAGTTTAAAAAGCTAATGTTATATCAATACCTCGTCAAGAGGAAACCAAGCTTTATATTACCAAACAATCCCAGCCTACGATTTCTATTGGTAGGACAGTGACAAGTTATATCATTCTATTTAAACAATAATACTTGCATTTGATACAGAGCCTTATCACGTCTTTGAGACGTGTTTCAAAGCACTTCACAGGAATATATTGTAAAGTGGAGTGACTGTATTTTGTGGGCAAAACACAGCCACAATTTAGGTGATTGAAGTTGAGGAATCTACTATTTGTCATTTTTATGGGTTATCTCAATGAGGAGGAAGAGGAGGGTCAAGGCTAATAGAAACTGAATTGTATCTATTCAAAGCAAACCAGTGTTGGAATGAAAAACATTCAGAGATGTGTCTGAACACAATGTGTACAACCAGCTTTTAAGTTTCTTCAAAATTTATTCTTTAACATTATAATCAGGGTCAAAATTTACACACACAATTTACAAACTAACCACTGTTATTACAATAAACTAGGTGAATTTCATACTTGTACATAATGGGTCAATCAGGGAGTTAATAGTAAACATGTTTTCAATTCATTTGAATTACCAAAATAAACAACTAATAGTTACAAATCCTATTTAACTTTAGTTATACCTTGGCATATGAAGAGATGAGGTGTAAAGTTTTGATGACTACAAAACAATGGAATCTTATTGCCTGGTGGGTTAGCAACCCTTATGGAAAAATATGTGGGTCATGCTAACCATGTGGGAATTACAAGGAATAGTTAACCAGAATTAACCATTGAACATTTAATTACCCATTGAAAGAGATTCCAAGTGATGTGGAAATCTTTTACATTGTTCGTTGAACATAACTAAGAGCACCTTTGCACATGGTTAACACACCCAGCAAATTTTACACATGAGTAATTAACCCAACCTGCAATTTGTACACATCGATTGTTAACCCAACTCACAAATTAGGTTAAACAAGCATGGAAACAGTTAACATTGAGTAAGTGGCACCTTTATGATTGCACACGGCTAATATACTCTGATAAAAAATAAGTTAGTATTTTTGACAGGCAAGACGTTGTTTTAAGCTCCAGAGATAAGCATTGGATTGCTCTCAACCAACATTGCAGAAATTATATCAGAATAGCACAGCAGCATTTCAAAATATTTTGTTTCACAAAATATTACAGAAAAATCAATTGTTAAAGATAATAAAAGTACAAGACGATCTTCTATTTAGTAGTAAGTAAAGCAAGTACTAAGGATGGACCAGGAACAAAATTGTGCTTTTCTTTAATAGATTTAATTTAATTTTAAATTAAAGTATAATTCCCTCCTTCATTAAAAGGCAAACATCATAGTAAGGATGTACATGATCAGTCCATGTTAAAACAGCCGCACTAAGTATAAATACAGTGCGATGTCAAGGATCATTGCTTCATTACAGATGAGACAAAAATGCATGTTATTCACATTAAGGTAATGCTAACATAATTTTTAGTACGGAGTTCTGATACAGGACGGTTAACAAAATAACCTTAATAAGTGTTCATGTGCTTTTATTACTCCAGCTCGCCCTTCACAAACCTCCAAAGCACACATACTTTATTTCCAAATACTCCTCAATGCCGTACTTGGAGCCTTCTCGTCCAAGGCCGGATTGTTTAACTCCACCAAAGGGGGCCTCGACGGTCGAGAGGAGAGCCTCATTAACCCCAACTATTCCCACTTCCAGACGCTCAGCAACCCGCCAGATTTGGGCAGGATCTCTGGAGTAAAAGTAGCCTGTAACAGCAACAAAAGATAATGGAATTCTTTGAAACAGATAAGCAAAAGTATGTCTTATTAAATGGTATGTTTTATTATGTTACAATGCTATTCAGTTTTAAGAACCTGTATTTAAGAACATAAGAATTTGCTAGGCAAAAGAAGATCAAGGTCCATCCATTTCGCCTTTCAACATGCACATGTCATGTCCCAAACTATATACTATATCCCGAGATATTATTTAAGGTTTTTGATAGCACCATATATATACATATCCAAAACTCTCAAGCTATTTTACAGTAATTACTGTTAAGAGCAGTATTTAGGGCAAATGGGCATCAAGTTTGCACGCAGCTGAATCCGACAAACAGTCATGAGGGGAATGAATGGTTAATCTGGAGGATTGTTGGTACTGGGAGAAACACTAGGACGACTGGAAGAAACTCCCTTCTTTTTTCAAATAGTGGCAGGCGATCTTATAAAGTCTACCTCAAGGACATGATCAGTAGAAACACAGTACTCCCCCAGTACTGCCCTAGAGCATCATCTTAGACCAGGGGTCTCCAACTTGTCGATGGCAGCTAGGTGGCGATTTGCACATGTCAATGAAAACGAGGAACAATATTTACTTCAGTTTAAATATTAAAGTTTATATTTTTATTTTGAGATGCATGAAATACTTTGTGCATCTGGCTTTGTTTTCAATTGGACTCAATAACTTGGCAGTCCTATCACTCCCTCCTCTGGCCTTTCTGATCATGAGCGAGAGCGCCGCCTAGAGGCGATTGACCTGTTGGAGACCTGTCTTAGACTATGAGCTCAAGTCCTGATGTAGATCTTGACCCACGACCAACTGAGTCAGGGGGAAAATTCTACCAGTTGAGCTAAGATGACATCTTTACAAACCGGCCAACGCATTTCATCAAATGCAACCCGTTTGTGGGCCAATAAGATTAAAGACTTGGTGGTTCATTTGGTCAAAATCAAAAGTAGAGCAGTTTTTCTTGCTTCTAGTTAGAATCCAAAATGGACATTTCAGTTTGTCCAGCGCACCTTTTAATATCGATCAGTGCCATACTCTTTCATAAACATACTTACCAGCCAAGCCCACGTCGCAAGCATTTGCTATGGCAAGTGCCTCCTCTTCAGTCTCAAACCTGCAAGCATGAAAAATTGTGTGGCTGGTAAGAATCTCATTAGCCATGTGAGAATGAGCTGTATGTTGATAATATTATAAACAATAAACCTTTGCACACACCCTGAAATCATTTTTTTTTAAAACATTTCTAAAGCAACAGAATTGTAAAGGGGTGAACAACATTTCACCTCCGTTTTGATCATTGTTAATAACATAATAATAATCCTAAAGTTTAGATGTATTTCAGATCTAGGTTAATTTGTAGGTGTGTGTTTGTGGTGGGGGTGGTGGGGTTGGCCGTCACAAAACTGCTTTTGGCATGTCTCATTTTATGGTTGGCTCCTAGCGCAAGAGTATGCTATGAAAAAGGGTAATTCAGGCCCATTCCCTCCACAGCCAACATTAATCTCTCATGAACTTGACCCAAATTCCTCGACCATCTAAGGGAGGTAACCGACCACTAGCAATTATTTGAGAAAGGCAATCAAACTGAACTGCAGAGAGGCACTGCCTCAAATACTGAGCACGCAGATGTGGACCAGCCTTAACTGGAAGGTGCACCAGCTTCTGGTACAGCTTCCTGTGCTACCATATGGCTGACTTTTGGGATGTAACTTCTTGCTTTCACTCTCCCCCTCTTCCCACCTTTCTCTCTCTACCCTTTGTCTCTCTCTCTCTCTTCCCTTGTATGTGTATTAAAATCCTTCTCTAACGTTTGCTCCCAATAAATTGCATTCTCAGGAAAAATAATAAATACTGCATATGCTCAAAAATCAAACACCACCACTAGTTTTTCTCTTACTTGATAACTGGTGCCAAAGGACCAAATGTCTCCTCTCTGGAACACAGCATGTCGGGGGTGACATTGGAGAGAAGAGTGGGCTCAAAGAACGTTCCTCCGAGACTATGCCGTTTCCCCCCGGTCACAACACAGGCACCATGAGACACCGCGTCACTTATGTGACTCTCTACCTAGGGCACAAAGTAACACAAGACTTTTTTTATTTAAAAATAGTTTTGAGTTACACTGAGGTTTTAGAAAACGACAAGTTACAAATCTGGATGTATTCCATAGTCATTGCAGCACAGGAGAAGGGACTGCTATTCAACCAAAACCTACTGGTGCCAATTCCTCCACTGGAGCTATTTACTCTATTCCAAATATCCTTCTTTTTCCCCTGTAACCTTTTATATTTGTCCTCTTGAAATAATTAAGCCAGCTCCCTTATGAATGTGCTTATAGTCTGAGCCTCAATGGCTTCTTGTTCCATTTCCTAATAAACCTCTGTGTGAAAACGTTTCTTCCAACACTCTCCTTTAACTCTTCCAGTCTGATGACTGATTTAATCACCAACAACAACAACAAAATTACATTTATAGAGCGCCTTTTACATCAGGAGGACGTCCCAAGGTGCTGGACAGTCAGGGGTCAGGACCCGAGCTTGGGAGAGGGGTGGGGTAGGGGTGAGGGAAGGCAGAGAGGTGGGAGGTTGACCAAAGACACGATCGATGAGGAGGGTCTTGAAAACTGTTCTTGAAAACTGTTCTCATCAAGTGAGAACAGTTTTCATTAACTTGTGTTAATCTTAATTGGAATTCAGAGAAGAAATCAAGTTAGTGTACAAAACAAATTGGTTGCTATGTATGTTGATCTACAAATGGAGTCACTCTAGAGTAAAATCGTCTGAACCGCTTTGGGGCGACCTCCTGATGTGAAAGGAGCTATAACAAATGCCAGGTTTATTATTATTATAAATCTGTAACGTGAACATGAATAGACATTTCAGATTTAATTACTTTACACAGCGAATGGGGAAATACATGGGAAAGACTACGCAGGGAGGTGGTGAGAATCAGATTGTGCCAACAAATTCAACAGCAAATTGGACAACTCAGTCATTTATTTGGCAAATAAGTTTTAAAAGTACCGATGGTGTGGAACAGGGTTTTTAATTTTGCTTTAAAAAAAATGGTGCCTCATGGCCAAAATCATATTCCAAAAAGGAAGAAAATAAAGATCAGCTTAGATCAAAAATCTGAAACTTCTTGCCATGACTTAGCAAACCACTGTGCGCTTTTTATTACCTTTTTCACCGCTCTTTCATTGATAAGAGGACCCTGTGTTGTTTCCTTCTCAAATCCACTTCCCACACGCAGGTCTCTCTCCATCGCCTTGGCGAGCTTCTCCACAAAGACATCATGGATTCCTTTCTGAACCATGAAACGATTTGCGCAGACGCACGTCTATTTTCAACAAAGAATCAAAAAGGTAGCATCAGTGTTCAAACAAACAGTTTTCTTCACAGCCCTGGCAATACTGAGTGATGCAAAAGGACAAGACGCCCAATATTTCACCTAGACTTAACCTGTAAGAACCATTCTATTTTACGTTCTTTTCAAAAAGGAGAATGGACGTTTCTTCCACTGTCCTGACTGGCAGACCCCCAAATAAAAATGGTCATTCACCTCATAATAATAATAATAATCCTTGCATTTGATATAGCGCTTTTCATGTCGGGAGGACGTCCCAAAGCGCTTCACAGCAGGACTCATGGCTATTTGTAACAACATAACTTGAATTTATATAGCGCCTCCCAGAGTGTTCATAATAATAATCCTTGCATTTGATATAGCGCTTTTCACGTCTTCTAGACGTCCCAAAGCGCTTCACAGAATATACTGCAAAGTGAATTGACTGTATATTTGTGGGTGAACGCGGCAGCCAATTGCGCACAGCAATGTCCCACAAACAGTCATGGATTGAAAATGACCAATTTATTATTGTTTTTGTTTTTTAGAAGGATTATTATTAGGCGTGTGGAGTAAGGAAACTTGCCAAGGTTTCGCCCTGCCTGGAATTGAACTCAGGTCTCTCGCTTGCAAAGCGAGTGCTCTAACCACTGAGCTACAGGACTGTTTGGAGGACATTGATGTTTAGGTTTTGTAGGAGATTGATGTGCGCAAATTGATTGCTGTGTTTGCCCACAATACACACAGTCACGTCACTTTACAAAATATCCTGTGCAGCGATCTGAGCATTCTCCCTGAGTGAAAGATGCAATATCAAATGTAAGGATTGTAATAACATTTAAAATTGTGTAGAATTACAGAAAATTATGTCTCAATTTTGAAGACGATTTCCTCACTTCTTAGAGATATGACTTCCAAATTAAGATTGAATGTAAAAATTTTCCACAATGCTTGTACGATCTAAAACTTATGGTCTTGCAAAATATGCTAAATGGAATTTCAGAACTGGGAATTCCAGTCTGCTCATCGGCAGGACTTAAGAGTGGAGGGGCAGACTGGAAACTTACCAGTTTAGGCTCTCGGTGGCAAGCTATGCGGTTTTAGCTGGTTAAAATCTAACAGTACCCCATTGCACACTTTGGGGTCTCCAACAATTGGCTGTCACCCACCTCCGCCTAATACCCTTCAGATTTAGGTAAGAAGGATGCACAGTTCCAAGGTCTGGACACAGAGAAATTTCTACGTGTAGGTGACATGCATATGTGGATTTTCCAGTCTGGTTTGAGTACTCAAGTATTGTGATGAATGTGTCTGACACTCGGCTGACCAAAAACCTCACTGTAAAGCGCTTCGAGATATCTAACTAAGATGCTATGTAAGTGCATGTTGTTGTTACGCCTCTTCCGATGGTTCTCCTGATTCGTTCATGAATTAATGTGTTGTTAATATTAAACTTCACCCTGACCGGATGAGAGAGTTTCACCCTTTGACCTGGGAGGACACTGCACCTCTCTAGTAAAGCTTTATTTCAGCAATGGGTATACAAAACAAAGGACATTCAGCAATGATTGTCCAAACCCCTCAGTTACAGGTTGAGATGGAGATTAATAGTTCTCTGAAGCTGAGGATAGATGAAAACCTGAAGCTATCCTTTTCCATCTCTTCAATCCTGGCAGTTTTACTGTATTGAATGGGAAACATTATTTATACTTCTTGTTCTCTATCACTTGGGGCCCAAAAACTGAAATACCTAAGGCTGGAAAACCTACAAGGTTTTAGCCATAAAACTATTAGAAATTATGATTGTGCAGAATTTTCAAGTCTGCACTTCTGATTTTCTGCACTTGTGGACCTGGGCAATTGGTTCATTGACCACATTCTGATTGTTTATACTGGAAAATAATAATAATAATCCTTGCATTTGATATAGCATCTTATCACATCTTTGAGACGTCTCAAAGGGCTTCACAGAATATACTGTAAAGTGATTTGACTGTATATTTTGTGGGCGAAATGCAGAAACCAATTGTGCACAGCAGTGTCCAAAAAACTGTTGTGAATTGAGTGACCATTTTTTTAAAAAAAGGAATTATTACTCCTCAGAAAATCTGCCAATCAACTGACAACCAGGGTCCTAGGTAAACAGAGGTGTTTGCAGTAAGGAAACTTGGCCAACGTTTCGTCCTGCCCAGGAATCAAACCCAGGTCTCTCGCTTGCAAGGCGAGTGTTCTTACCACTAAGCTACAGGTCTCGACAAGTTAGCAAAGAGCAGTTAGCAAGCCAGGAACAATCTGTGTAAATTGGGGAGAGGGTTAAAAAAAGAATGGAGGGAGCAGAGAGAGTGGCAGATTGTGTAACAGGGCAACTGATTCTGTTTGTAGGCAAGATTTCATGGGTGAGAGACCACTGGAGATGAGTAACTGACACTATATCTTTCCATAGCAGCAAATACAATATACTGAACAGCAATTCCCAGCAGCAATCTTTCTGTGTGCATGAACAGCGAAAAGTGGACATTACATACGCGGGGCAAAGTCCCCAAATTGCTTGACTTTATTATTATTAATTATTATTGGAAATATTCTTCACAAAATAGATAAAAACGATTCTTCCTTTTTACATCTATTTTTTCAAAAATAAACACAAGGATACTTCAAACCCTTAGCAGAGAGTAAAACGTTCACAAGCAAAATGCTTCAGCACAATGGCTACAGATATTATTTTTAAATTTCTGGCAAAGTTGGGACACATTAGTCCAGGGTAACAGGAAGGTCATTTACAGTGTAATGTCAACATAAAGTGGAATTCAACTCACTGTCAAGATCAAATTATTCGGAAACAGTGGGGTCTAACACTGACGACGAACAAAAGAATATCTTTCTCTAACTCTTTGAAATGGAATTCCAATTGTAAGACAAGAAAAAAATCACCAGTTGTAGCGATCAGCGTAAATGAGACAGACAGAGAGAGAAATTCTACCTGGGTCTAGCTTTACTTGATTTACTTAGCATTTTAGAATACCAAGAATTTGATTTGGAAGCCAGTTTTCTGTAGTACTTAAAAGAAAATTACACAAAGCATCGTAAGAAAAATTACATGTTGAAGATCACATGACATTGTTTGAAAAGGGAGTTTCTCCCAGTGTCCTGGCCAACAATTCCCCCAAATAAATAAAAGGTCATTTACTCCATGGCTATTTGTGGGACACTGATGTGAGCAAACTGACTGCTGTGTTTTGGTCACAAAATGCACAGTCAAAACCACTTCACAGTATATCCTGTGAAGAACTTTGAGACGTCTGCACGATGTGATAAGGCGCTATATCAAATTCAAGGATTATTATTATTATTATGTACCACAAATTTCAAAGGTTTCCTTCAAAACATGATCAGGGTTTTGGCTCAATCCCGCCTTCTCACCTGCCCCGTATTTCGGAATTTGCAGGCCAGAGCTCCAACAACAGCCAGATCCACATCAGCACTGTCAAACACGATGAACGGAGCGAGTCCTCCTAACTCCATAGAGGCCTTCTTCACGGTGTTGGTGGTATGGCCCAGCAGGATCTGAAAGGTGCAGATGCAGCTGGTTAACCTTATGAAACCACACGAGCAGTAACAGCTCACAGCAGACAGTCCAAAATACTGTATTAGAAAGATTCTGCTTCTTAAAAGCAACCCTATGGAGGAGCAGAAGATGGGCAGTCAAATCAGTAGTGCTGCGATTTTATGCCAATAATCAAATCAACATTCTAGCAACCTGTGAGTTCACATTCACAAATCTTTGAATGCTCAGGACAAGTTAATAAAGCTATTAAAAAAATCGTATGGGATCCTTGGCTTTATAAATAAAGGCATAGAGTACAAAAGCTAAACCTTTATAAAATACTGGTTAGGCCTCAGCTGTCCAATTCTGGGCACCATACTTTGGGAAGGTTATCAAGGCCTTGGAGAGGGTGCAAAGGAGATTTACCAGAATGGTACCAATGATGAGGGACTTCCAATTATGTGGAGAGACTAGAGAAGATGGGATTTTTCTCCTTAGAGCAGAGAAGGTTAAGGCAGAGATTTAATAGAGGTGTTCAAAATTCTAAAGGGTTTTGATAGAGTAACTAAGTAGAAACTGTTTCCACTGGCGGGTGGGTCAGTAACCAGGGGTCATGGATTCAAGATAATTCGCAAGAAAACCAGAGGGGCGATGAGGAGAATTTTTTTTATGCAGCGAGTTGTTAATCTCTGGAATGCAAAGAATAGTGAACATAGATTCGATAGATTTCAAAAGGAAATTGGATATGTACTTGAAAAGAAAAAATGTACAAGATTACAGGAAGGAGTGGGGGAGTGGGACTAATTGGGTTGCTTTTTCAAAGAGGCGGCACAGGCATGATGGGCCAATTGGCCTCCTTCTGAGCTGTAGGATTCTATGAATCCCGTTCTCTTTTTCCCCATAAATCATATTAATATTCCTGGGATTTTACCAATAGCGCCCAGCTCTCCCTAGACGTACTCAACAGTTGAGTGGCAGAAAATCACTTCTGTCTCAGACTCTTTGAAATGCAATCAAAAGGTCGCAGAAGTATCTATCCTTAAAAAATGGTCTCATCAGAAAATAAAACCCCATTTTCCCCACTCTACAAGTCCAGATTTCAGCTTGTCTGTTAAATCTTTAATCAAAGTTAACAGCCCACATAACTAGAGGGTGGACGGCACATTACTTGGCAATACCTAACCAACCTTTCCGGTGGCTGTGGAACCAGTGAACGAGACGATGGCAACCAGTGGGTCTGTGCAAAGAACTTCTCCCACGGCAGGTGTGTTGGCTCTGGAGGCGGGGACCACATTGAACACCCCTGCAGGAATCCCAGCCTGGCTGGCCAGCTGTGAAACAAGATTAAATCATGCATTAGCCATTCCAAACCAGGCATAGTTTTGCATTTTGCAAATGATTCTACTCTAAAAATGCTCTTACATGACAAATATTAACGTTCAGTTTAACATGACCTTGATCATCTGCTTTTCTTTCCTGTCAACACATGTGATTTGTTCTGAGTGATCTATTTAACTCCAAAGGTCATTTTGAGTTTCCTTAAAAAGGTGTTTGTGAAATTAAAATTTCCTTGTCAGCAAAACCCACTGTGACAGCCAAACAGAAGCCATAGTGAGACAAGTTAGTTTTATCCTCCTGATGTTGCATTAGAAATTCCAACCCAAACACTGAAATGGGCACGTGCCTGTGGACAACACTGCTGTCAACACTCTGTGGACCGTTTACTAACATGTTGTTGCTTAACTCAACTTTTTGCTTTGTAAATCTTTAGCCATAAACTTGAGACTAATATTTTAGACTCTGCTGGCTCTAGCGTGATGCTTAGACCCTCCATGACATTTAGAGCTGAGGTCAGGAAGCAAATGCAAGGATTATTATTGTTGTTTCTTCACACAATGGGCTATGAAGACGCAGAATGCTCTGCCCCAAAAAGCTGTGGAGGCAAGATCTATAGGTATGTCTAAAAAAGAGACAGACAGATACCTTGGTCATACAGGGATTATAAGAGTATGGGGAAAGAGTGGGTCATTGGGATTCAAAAAATCTGACAAGATCTAATAAACTGGCTCAATTACCTCTTTTTATTACTTTAATGGAGTCCTTTGGTTGTCATCTTAAAATCTGAGTAATGGACAATAAAAAAGAGTTTACTGCAGTCTCTCTCACAGAGATTCCTTGAATTCCTCTGTGTTAAGGATTGTTCGGAATCTTGGTTACTGTAGTCACCTTCACCAAACACTGTTTAAATGCTACCCGGATTCCTAGAGCATCTGGATTTATTTTCTGGATGACGTTTGGAGCTTACCTCTGCCAATGCCAGAGCAGAGAGAGGTGTATCTTCAGCTGGTTTCACCACCACCGTGCTGCCTGTTGCCAATGCTGCCCCAACCTTGCGTGTGATCATAGCACTGGGGAAGTTCCACTGCAGAGAGAGAGAGAGAAATGGATTAGGATGTCTCTAAAGTAAAGGGAAAAACAAAATTAATGTGGGTCATTTATTAGATGTTTAGGATAGTATCTTAAGAAAGACAGCACTTGAAACACACTGCAGTCAAGCAGGAAGAGAATGGAATGGCTCAGATTGAGATATGTTATAATCTTTGCTTTACATCACAATATATTCGTATAATGAACACAAAACACCTAGAGAAAGAAAGAACCCTGAATGACTCTAGGTTGTGGAATCTCTAGAGGTCAAGTATTGAACTTTTATTTCGGGGTCAGCTGGCTCAATTGGTAGTACTCTTGCCTCCAAGTTACCAAATTGTGGGTTCAAGCCTCATAGTCCAGGTTCATAATCCAGAGAGTGCTGCATTATCGGAGCTGCTGTCTTTCGAATGAAGCATAAAACTAAAGTCCCTTCTGTCTGTTGAGACGGGCTTTAAAGATTCCATAACACTATTCCCAAAGAGAAGGGAGTTTCTCCCATGGTCCTGGCCAACAATCCTCCAGACAAATTGATCAGAGCTGATTGCAGAATATTGCTTGGTACAAATTAGTTGTCACTTTTGCCTAAAAATACAGTCACTATACTTTACACAGAAACACTCTTGTAAACTTGAAGATGTAATAGATACTATAATAAATGTAAAGATTATTATTTTTATAAAGGGTGTGGATAACACCACCAGCATAGGGGGCCTTTGAGATGTCCTCATGACATGAAAGATAATACTGTATGTAAATGTAAATTGTTCTGTGTTGTCTGGAGATAACAGACCTGGTTTGGAGTAAGTCTGGGCGCTTCTTGGCCAAATGAAAAGATGAAGCACTTTTGGTGGTTAATATTCATTTCAGGCAAATGAGACAGTGAGAGGAAAAGATTAAATGGGCTAACCCTTCCATCCTGAAAGTGGGCACCTTAGACTGATAGTAGGCAGCATTATTTACCCCAGTGTATCTCAGACTATCCCACCTCACTGAAGACAGATTTGAAAGTTACTTTTTAATGTCATTTCTTCCTATAACTGGGGCAGTTAAATCCCTGCCCCCACTTCCTGCAAGGCTTGGAGGCAAAACGGCAGAAACACATAGCAATGTACTGGTACTCACGGGAGTTATAATGGAGGCCACTCCTATTGGTTGCTTGAGGATTAGGATGCGACGGTCTGGAGAAGGGGAAGGGACAACATCTCCGTACACTCTCCGGGCTTCTTCTGCAAACCATTCGAGAAAGGAGGCAGCGTACACCACTTCGGCAGAGGCCTCGTGGAGAGGCTTCCCCTGAATAGCCAGAATCAGTGTCAATACCAGAGAGGGACAAAAACAGCAATAACGTATTCACAAACTTCTCCTGCTCCACACTAGGCCACACAACCAGTCGCTCCTGTGTTGTTCTGATAGGAACTGCTCATCCAATTATTCCCGAACTTTTCCTTTATCTAAAATAAACCAAACACTAATTTGAAATAGATGCACTACTCACCAGAACACTGGAAGTCTCACCTCGAGCTTAAACTTTCTAACGCTCTCTTCTCTAGTTCCAACTCACCCATCCCAAATTCTGCAGCCAGCCAATGTTCTCTTCCTACATACACCAGGCTCCGCATATCCATTACCCTCAGCTTCACTGGGATCAACAAGCATACCCCAGCGTATCGACTTGATCTTCTGGCTGAACTTTAAACCGTTTCACAATCTTGCCCCTCCATACCTATACCATGTCTTCTAGCCCTATTTGCCCTCTATGCCTTCTGCTACCTTCTCTTTCATCACTTCACTTCATTCCCTTGCACCTCCCTATTAATCCGACCAGCTTACCCCAAATTCACCACTGCCTCCGTTCGGCTGTCTCCGGCCTCCTAATTGTCCCTTCTGCCCTCCTCTCCACCTTTGGTGGCTGTGCCTTCAGCCACTACTCCGCGAAACTCTGGAACTCTCTCCCTCGATCCCTCCGCTTTGCCCCATCCCTCCCCACCTTCAAATCCTGCCTAAAGACCTTCGTTTTTGATAGTGCTTACAGTCACCTCCCCCTCCCTCTCCCCTTGGCACATTGTCAGACTCCACTACTGTGAGGCATTCCGGGACGCTACCCCGCGTGACTGGCGATATATAAATGCATGTTGTTGTTGTTCTCATCTATTGTTTGTTTTTCGCCCACTCTGATCCACCAATGGTGGTCAGGCCTTTCGTCACTATGACCCTGTTCACTGAGACTCCCTAAATCCCTTCACCTTAAGCCTGTATCGCTCTTTAAATTCCCCTCTTTGTTTGGATGTTTTATAACATACAACAGCCTTCCCCAACAATGTTCCCTTCTAATACAATTAATTATTCTAAACACAGTATTTGCTTTCAACGTTTTGCAATTTTTTTTCAATCCAATTATATTATTGCAACCTAAACACATTTTTGCTGCATTATAATAATAATAATCCTTGCATTTAATATAGTGCTTTTCACATCTTCTAGATGTCTCAAAGCGCTTCACAGAATATACTGTAAAGTGAATTGACTGTATGTTTGTGAGTGAAATGCACACAGCAGTGTCCCAAAAACAGTCGTGGATTGAAGTGACCAATTTATTGTTTTTTTTCTTGAGGGATTATTATTAGGCATGTGGAGTAAGGAAACTTGCCCAAGATTTCGCCCTACTGGGAATTGAACCCAGGTCTCTCGCTTGCGAGGCGAGTGCTCTAATCACTGAGCTACAGGACTCCACAATGACTTCCTTTAGCTTGCAGAAATTACTAACAATCCTGAGGAAAGCCTACATGCACAGTGTGTTTAAAACAAGGTGCTGGTGTTTTACTTGCATTTTCTGAAGTAATCAACCTCGCGAGCTCATCTTTGTTTTTCATCATCAACTCGTACCATTTCCTTAATAAAATGCTTCGCTCCTAAGAACAGGCAGAAACATCAGAAAGGGTAAAGCTTAAACAGTGACAGAGTTGAACAGACCTTCAAACATATTCAGAAAATCTAAAAGATGTTCAGAAATCTAAAAATGAGTAATCTGCAGGGATATGGGGGTCGGGGGTGGGGTTGGGGGGGGGAGGAGAAATAAGGCAGTTAAATATGGATTGATCTTTTGAAGTGTAACACAACCACGATGAGCCGAATGACTTTCTTCTGTCCTGTAAAGTACTAGTCAATCTGTAGCCCAATGCAGTGGGGCTGATCTGCCACTTCTCTCCACCGCACAAATGGAAAAGCTATGAAAAGCAACATGCAACATGAGTTAAGAGTCAGGGTCGCTGGGAGATAATTAACTGCACTTTCAGTATATAGTTCTACTTTCTCAGCTCTCGTGGAATTTATATCTCTAGCAATTGATTTCATTCAAAAAACACTTATTTACACTTTTTTTTCTTTGTTATCACCAGGATTTTTTTTCCAAGTTCTTGGTGCAATACTAACAATACAGAACTAAGCTAACAGTGCACCTCCCTGTCTGCTTTCTAGCACAGTAATACAGTAATAATACTGAGGCTCTCACATTGGGAGGACACCTCAAAGGCCTTTTCAGGTTTTACTGCAAAATAAATCTAAGTGACTGTGTTTTTGTGGGCAAACATGGCAGTCAATGTGTGCACAGTAATGCCCCACAAACAGCCATGAAGTGATTGACCAATATTATTGGGGAATTGTTGACCGGGACATCAGGCTTCCAAATCCCATTGCTCTCATGTCTCCCTCTGTTCCTCTCCCTTCCTCCATCCCTACGCCCCACCCCCTCCCCCCCTCTCGCTCTCCCTCTCTCGCACCTGACTCAATCTGTTCCAGGTAAACTCACAACTTAGCTCCAGTAAAACGTGCACAAGTTGAATCAGTCGGGATCACGGCATTTCATACAAGTGCAAGTTACAGGCAAACTTGCGTCGAGTCGCATCAAGTCCGATTTCATCAGTAACCCACCCCCCGCGCGGGCTTATTTCAATGAAGCCAGTGAGCGCGCGTGTGGCAACGGGTCGAGACTTGATTTCCCGCGCTTGTCTAATCAATGATCGCCGCGCAGGTACGGTAGCGATACTACGAGTTTGGGAGATGGTTTGCTTTGTGGAAAATACGACGAGTGCGAAGAAATCTTCCAGTGCTTTTTTTGGTAGGAAACGTGAATGGGACTCGGGTGCCTGTATCAGCCCTGGACGATGATACGATCGATAAAGACTTCAGCACATTTTACTGTGTTGTCGGAGAGGAACGAGAAGTAATGAAAGATGTGAACAATCCCTGTCCCTCACTGTCCTGTTTACAGCTCCCGTCCCTCTCCCCCCGTCCCGTCCCGCGCCCACCCCTCCCTGTCCCCCTCTCCCACCCTCCGCCAATTCCTCTCCCCCTGTCCCCCTCTCCCCGTCCCCCCCCTCCCTGTCCCTCTCCCCTGTCCCTCCCCGTCCCCCCCTTCCGTCCCTCTCCCCTGTCCCCCCTCCCTTCCCTCCCTCTCCCCGTCCCTGTCCCCCTCCCCTGTCCCCACCTCCCCCCCCTCTCCCCGTCCCTGTCCCCCTGTCCCTCCCCTCTCCCCCGTCCCGCGCCCCCCTCCCTGTCCCCTCCCCCCTCCGGCAATTCCTCTCCCCTGTCCCCCCTCCCGTCCCTCTCCCCTGTCCCCCCCTCCCTGTCCCTCTCCCCTCCCTGTCCCCCTCCCCCCCCCCAATTCCTCTCCCCCTGTCCCCCACCCCGTCCCCCCCTCCCTGTCCTCTCCCCTCCCCCCACTGTCCCCCCCTCCCTGTCCCCTCCCCCTCCCCCCCTGTCCCCCCTCCCCCCGTCCCTCCCCCCTCCCTCCCCCTCCCCCTCCGCCATTCCTCTCCCCCTGTCCCCCCTCCCTGTCCCCTCCCCCTGTCCCCCCTCCCTGTCCTCTCCCCCTCCGCCCCCCCGCTATCCCTCTCCCCCTGTCCCCCCCTCCCTGACCCACTCCCCCCTCCCCTCTCCCTGTCCCTCTCCCCCCTCCCCTCTCCCTGTCCCCCCCTCCCTGTCCCCCCTCCCTGTCCCCCTCCCTCCCCCCTCCCCCCTCTCCCCTGTCCCCCCTCCCTGTCCCTCTCCCCCTGTCCCCCCTCCCTGTCCTCTCCCCCTGTCCCTCCCCTGTCCCTCTCCCCCTGTCCCTCTCCCCCTGTCCCTCCCCCGTCCTCTCCCCTGTCCCCCCTCCTGACCCTCTCCCCCTGTCCCCCCTCCCCTGTCCCCCCTCCCCTGTCCCCCTGTCCCCCCTCCCCTCTCCCCCCTCCCCTGTCCCCCCCTCCCCTGTCCCCCCCTCCCTTTGTCCCCCCTCCCCTCTCCCCCTGTCCCCCCCTCCCCTGTCCCCCCCTCCCCTCTCCCCCTGTCCCCCCTCCCCTTGTCCCCCCTCCCCTCTCCCCCTGTCCCCCCTCCCCTTGTCCCCCCCTCTCCCTCTCTCTCCCCCCTCCCCTCTCCCCCTGTCCCCCTCCCCCCCTCTCCCTGCCCCCCCCCCCCCCCCATACCTTGCAGGTGGTGTGTCTCCAGGTGTGGAAGGCGCTGTGAGCCGCCCTCACGGCCTCCCGGGCCTCCCGCTGGCCGCAGTCCTGTACCGAGCCCAGCTCCCTGCCGCTGGCCGGCTCCAGCACCGGGAACCTGGCGCCGCCCCCCGGGGCCCAGCGCCCCCCGATGTAAGCCTCGGTGCGGAGTAAACCCGAGCCCGAGCCCGAGCAGCCCCGAGCGGCCGCGTCTGTCACCGCAATCAGCCGAGACCCGCGGCTCCACCCCACCGGCCCCCGCCACATGGCAACTGCTCACAGGGGGACACACACAGGGACACACACACACACACACACAGGGACACACACACACACACACACCTACACAGACAGGGACACACACACACACACCTACACCTACACACAGGGACACACGCACACACACCCACACAGACAGGGACACACACACACACACAGGGACACACACCCCCACACACACAGGGACACACACACACACACCTACACCTACACACAGGGACACACACACACACACACAGGGACACACACACACACACCTACACAGACAGGGACACACACACACACACAGGGACACACACCCCCACACACACAGGGACACACACACACACACCTACACCTACACACAGGGACACACACACACACACACAGGGACACTACCCCACACACAGGGACACTACCCCACACACACAGGGACACACACACACACACCCACACCTACACACAGGGACACACACACACACACACACACACACACACACCTACACACAGGGACACACACACACACACACACAGGGACACACACACACACACCTACACCTACACACAGGGACACACACACACACACACACACACCCACCCCCACACAGACACACACACACACACCTACACACACACACACCTACACACAGGGACACACACACACACCTACACCTACACACAGGGACACACCCCCCCACCCCCAGGGATACACACACACACACCTACACACAGGGACACACCCCCACACACAGACAGGGACACAGACACACACACACACAGACAGGGACACACACACACAGGGACCCCCCCCCACACACAGACACACCTACACACACAGGGACACACACACACAGGGACCCCCCCCACACACAGACACACCTACACACACAGGGACACACACACACAGGGACCCCCCCCACACACAGACACACCTACACACACAGGGACACACACACACAGGGACCCCCCCCCCCAAACACACACAGATACACCTACACCTACACACAGGGACACACACACAGGGACACCCCCCCCCACACACACACACACAGGGACACACACCCACACACACACAGGGACACACAGAGCTGATCAGAGTGACCAGACTACACACAGACACAGGGCCAGAGAGAGCCCCCTCCCTGACTGCACACACACACACACACACACACACAGAGAGAGAAGCTGCTCCTGACTGGAAAGGCAAGAGAGCCCACTGCAAAGGAGGTTGCAGGGAGGGCACTGACAGTTGGGTACCACCCACTCACCCCGGGGGCATCGTGTGCAAATACACGGCCGATAACCCAAACAGGAATAAAAAGAAGCGTCCGCTGAAACATATCTTTGTTGGTCAGCGGCTAGCCGGCTGTCCGACACACGCACGACAAACCCATCACCGCGCTTCAAAGAGTCCCCAAACCCGAGCTGAGAATTCCACGCATCCTTCCTACCTCCACGTGGAAATCCCAGAGAGGCGTTGTCGGAATGGAAAGCACGCTCGTCTCCCTTGGAGGGGGACGGACGCCTCCTGCTTGCCTAGTTCTGGAAAGCGATAGGCGCAGGCCGGCAAGAGCCCGGGCTCAGCGCTGTCCGGCAAGCTTTCCCGCTTGCTTGTCCCAACTCGGCCACCCTACCCGTTCAGGCTTTGCTGCGCAGGGTTAACAAGAGCAGAGTAGGAAAAATCCCTGCCGCCAGCGCCAGGAGCGAGATTATTGAGCCAGGATGACACCTGTGAAGCGCTTTGAGACATAGACAAATCCCATGAAGCACTTTTAGATGTCTTGATGACTTCACAAGGCACAATAAATATTAAATTTAAGGATCACCATGATTTTGCAAAAAAACTTACATCTTAACGGCCCATCGGAAGTTTGTTTCTGTAAGGCCTGCTACACTAACTGTAAAATCTATACAAGATTTGTTTTGGAAAAAAAAGCTTTTATTCTTTGTAATACCTTTCAATATCTGGGTACAAACAACATTGCACATTGAACTCAATGGAAATTATTTGCCACACAATTTGGGGTCAAAAGTTACCTTCTCCTTAAGATTCTCCACCTAACGTTAAGATTGTATGGAATTTTGGAAAATGATTTTAATTTGAAAGCCAACTTTCTGTAGCTCCTTTTGAGCACTACAGAAAAAAAAAATCCAAATTAGGCCTGAATTAAAAAATTTAAAACAATCTTAAATTTTATAATGATCTGAAGCTTAAGGACGTGAGAAATTTCAGGCAACTTGTTAGTGAGTCCATAAAGCTTATGGTGTAGTTATTGAAAAATCAGCGGAGACCAAATCAAATGTACAATCAGCTGATCTATATTGGTCAATTAGCTGGTCAAACTCACGAATAACTTGAGCGGGAAAGGAAAATTTCTGTTACAATTCACCAGACCTACTTTGTGGGACAATAACTATGAGTATCCTTGTACTTGTCATACTTGCAAAACTGAAAGTATATGCCCCAAACTGCAATTTGTAGCAAAAAGTAGAAGAAACAAAATTTATGTAACAGGGCCTTATGATAACATAATGCTACACTTCAAATTGTTTTTTTTATTGATTCAATGCAGTTTCCACAGCAAAGAGACTTTACAATCAATGACTGCCACATAGATAAAATTTTGACTTTCGAGTCATCCCTCCAACCACCTGTGAGAAGTGGTTAAATAATAATAATAATAATAATCCTTGCATTTGATATAGCGCTTTTCACGTCGGGAGGACGTCCCAAAGAGCTTCAGAGAACACACACACTGTAAAGTGAATTGACTGTATATTTGTGGGCGAACGCGGCAGCCAATTGCGCACAGCAATGTCCCACAAACAGTCGTAGATTGAAAATGACCAATTTATTATTGTTTTTGTTTTTTGGAGGGATTATTATTAGGCGTGTGGAGTAAGGAAACTTGCCCAAGGTTTCGCCCTCTGCCTGGAATTGATCTCAGGTCTCTCGCTTGCAAAGCGAGTGCTCTAACCACTGAGCTACAGGACTGCAGACTTGATTGGTATAGCTGCAGTACAGCTCCTGACAGACTTCAACCAACATCAAGCCTGCTTTTACATTTAGAAATGCTCCTGTGTGGTCCACTTAATAATTTCAATGTTCCTAGTGAGCCAGTTTCAGTCACAGGGCATTTGTTGCTTGTTAGAAGACCTCTGGCTCTGCGTAGACCCTCCCTCCCCTTTATCTGGATCCTTCTCTAGGCAAGACCTTGTAGTTTACCAGCTCTCAATTGCTTCATTACACTCACTGTATTGAATTAGTGCCTGTAATGTGTAAGAGCAAGGAATAATGGAAAGGAATGTCTAGTCCAGCGGAAAATTATCTTTTAACATCCCCAATGTCTTTCAAGCCACCCGCTACCATATTTTATAGGGTGACAGATTAGATTGTGGGAAAGAGGTTTTAAAAGCTCATTAGCAAAGATTACTGGTTTCTTTCACAAAGGGAGCATACTTGTACACCGTTTGATCACTTTGGTCAAGGTTTTTCTGAATTGCCTTGTTCATTTGTCGTTTCAACGGTTGCTGTTACTGAATTCAACTTCCCCCTGCTGGGAATCTCTCGTCACTGCCACTCTCCCCCTGCTGGGAATGCTCTAACCACTTAGCTACGGGACTCCACTAGATGTTTAGAATTGACAATTTTAATGCTTATTTCACCCCGTCTCCAAAACAAACCTCAACAGATTGAACAGCACACGTTTTATACACATTTGTTAAGAACCGTTAAGAGTAACCATAATTTTTAAAGATTGATCCTCATCTTTGTGGAGTCCTGTAGCTCAGTGGTTAGAACACTCGCCCTGCAAGCGAGAGACCTGGGTTTGATTCCTGGGAGGGCTAAACCTTGGGCAACTTTCCTTACTTCACGTGCCTAATAATAATCCCTCAAGAAAAAAAACAAAAACAAAAAAAATTAGTCACTTCAATCCATGACTGTTCGTGGGACACTGCTGTGCGCACTTGGCTGCTGCCATTACAGTAGACCTCCCTCCCTTTTATCTGGATCCTTCTCTAGGCAAGACCTTGTAGTTTACTAGCTCTCAATTGCTTCATTACACACACTGTAAATAAACATAGTCAATTCACTTTACAGTATTTTCTGTGAAGCGCTTTGAGACATCTAGACATGAAAAGCGCTATATCAAATGCAAGGATTATTATTATTATATAATCTGAGTGAAAAGATGGGCGTTTTGCATTTTTGATTACTTGCTTCCAATAATAAAAGGTGAACTATTTCAAGAATTTATGAAAATAACTATTTTTAAATCCAAAAATATATTATAACTATGTAGAATCTTAAAGTGATCTTTTAAGTCACATTTGAAGTACTTCTAAAACTTTTTGGTATTTATTAATTTGCCTACGCATTACTAACATACTATATCCCATATACCAACTCCTTTAACAACTGTGCATAAAATCCGATATTTTGATTAATAATTCAGTTAGTGTTGGCCAAACCACAATAAACATGAAAGGAATGTAAACCACATACCTTTTTGCATTTTTCCCCACAGTACAGTAAGGTAGCAAATAAACATTGCAGATGTAAAGCAACTGGTTTACCATAACAGTTCATCAGTACATCCACAACACACAACTTAAAGATAAAGATACAATGATGGACTCTGGCGTGAAGTTAAATTACACAAAAGTAAGGATTGGGTTAACATGGAAGGGCTTTGTCATGACGAGACTCCTGGAAGAAATCCAGGAGCTTTGCCTGGAGCTGTCATCTCAATATGCTTTCTATATGCACACATTTACTCCTTTACCTTAGCTGCAGAATTTTACGCTATTGTGAGTAACCTGTCACCACAAATCACATAAATATTCATTTTTACATAAAACATGGTTACAATTTGGCTCAGAAACTGTACACTAGTCATTTCATGTAAAAGTAGCAAATGTCATTGAACCAGTGGCTCTGGACTTGACCCTTTTCATTAGTTAGAAATCTCCCCAAATTAGAACTGAAAAAACTGGCTACATGCATTACAGTGGTAACTCAGACAGGCAACTCTGGAGTAAACTTGTCATGTTAAAGCAGCATAAGAATGTACTGATAAAAAAGGAGGGGATTGAACCAAATGGTCAGAAAAGGGCCAACTACTTATCAGTCCACTTCTGCATCTCTCTTAGCAGCTAGTTCTTGTGTGACACAACACAATATTACATATACATTATATATATGTATGTATAACCTTTCATATCAGGAAGACATCTCAGAGTGCTTGACACTCCTTGCTGGACACCTGAGCTGGGAATGGGAGCCAAAGGGGCTGAGGAGGGGAAAGAGGTCAGAAAGTGCAGTCAAAGAGATTGGCTTTGAACGAGGGGAAGGAGTGAGTGAATCTGAAGGTCACCCACGTGGGCCTCTCAAGCAATGAATGGCGAGGGGCAAAATTACTTGGATGCCTTCTAGGTCTGCTTTTCTTCATCTCTCCATCCCCAAGAGAGGAAATTCTACATTCCTAAGGCACTTTGATGGTGCAGTAACTAACATTAGCACATAAAGTATGCACTTCGTAATTCATTGTAACATTTTGGCCAGAGAAATATGAAGCACTTAAAACACATCCCAGTGTGCTTACCACCTGTGAGATAGAACATAGGCCTGCGTTAGCTCCCTTTTTGTAACATTTTGTGACTCCTGACTTGACAGCACAAGCTTCTGAATGCAGTGAGATCACACTAATTGTGGATTTATAACAGCTCTCAGAAAAGGATAGAATAGAATCTTTCCGGTCCAGTCAAAAGACATTGGAAGTATCAGGTGAGAGTTATACTTCCAGTTGTACATTGCCAGATGTAACACTTGATCATGCTTGTACAGATTTGGTAGATATGAATGGATTTCCAACAGAGCTGGGAACATATGCTTTGGATCAGTGTCCCAGGTCGTTTGTTCCACCACTTGGCTGTGGCCTTTTCGGAATAGAAAGCATCTAGAGTAACACAAAACAGATGAAGTGGGTAAGCAATTAAGCTATGATAATAATAATAATCCTTGCATTTCACAAAGAGCTTTTAAAGTTTGCTGGAATTCAATAAAAATTAGTTCTCAACAGCTAATTGGCACAAAATCAATGAAAGACTAAGACGTGCATTAATACATACAGGTGGTGGAGGGTCAAGGTGTCTGCCCAGGAAAGAGAGCAGACGTCGCCACATTAGGCCACTCCCCAGAAACATAATGCCTGTTACCAACCAAAAGATCCTGGGGTCCTATAAAAAACAAATGTAGAAAAGCATATTCAAGCGTCTTCAACTGGTGACATTTAGTACAACTGACTACAATGTTCATTTTATTAAATTCCTGTAGTAATAAAAAAATGAGGCTACGTTTTCCTTTTTCAGATAAGCTCTAGTTATTTTGCTGCCCGTCTTCAATAATCAATGTTACAGTTTTATAGTGTACAATAAATCTAACTTTTAACAGTCTATCCGAGTTTATTCAACATTGGCTCCTATTTCCTGGTTTGAGTTGAAGCTGCAATGTTCAGTCTTGCATTGGGCTGGTTAATTGAACTACAAAGCTGGTTTCTAACCAATAGAATATCCCTCCCAAAAATAAGCACTGCTACTCCTAAATTTAAAATAAATAGCATAACAAGAATAATCATCCCTACATTTGGCAAAGCGCAGTTCATGTCAGGAGGCTGTTTCAAAGCCCTTCACAGAATATACTGTAAAGTAGACTGACTGTATTTTGTGGGTTAAATGCGCTAGCCAGTTTGCGCACAACAATGTCCCACGAACAGTCATGGATTTAAATGACCAATTTTATTTGAGGGATTGTTGGCCAGGACACAGAGAGAAACTCCTTTCCTTTTTCAAATAGTGCCATGGGACCTTTAATATCTACAGGGCTTTGGTTTAATGTCTCACCCGAAGAACGGCACTTCCAAAAATGCAACACTTCCCCAGCACTGCTTTGGAGTCAGCTTAAGACTATTTGAGTTCCAAGTCCCAACATGGGGCGTGAACCCACAACGTTCCGACTCAGAAAAGAGACTGCTACCAACTGAGCCAGGTTCATAAGATGCATTACAGAAAGAAAACAGAAAGGCTATTGAACAGAGAGTATAGGGTACAGAAAATTGGAGGAAACAAAGTTAACCCGACAAACACAGAAATATTTTAAAAGGTCTACTTAAATTATTTAGTACTTAATAATAATAATGCTTGCATTTGATATAGCGCCTTATCACATTGTTCAGACGTCTCAAAGCACTTCACAGGAAATATTGTAAAGTGAATTAACTGTGTATTTTATGGGCTGTAACATTACACTAAAATATTCCAGTAGCTTCAGGAGTCCCACAGTGTAATGGTTAGTGCGCTCGCCGCACAAGCGAGAGGATCCAAGTTCGATTCCTGGGCAGGGTGAAACCTTACACAAGTTTCCTTACTCTATATACCTGTTTACCTAGCAGAAAGCAGGAACCCAGTTGTTAGTTGACTGGCGGATCACTTTCCGGGGGTAATAATCTCTTAAAAAATTGAAAAAAATCAGTCACTCAACCCATGACAGTTTATGGACATAGCTGTGCACAATTGGCTGCCGCGTCTCGCCCACAAAATACAGTCAATCCACTTTACAATGTATTATGTGAAACGCTTTGAGATGTCTCAATGACGTGAAAAGGTGCTATATCAAATGCAAGGATTATTGATTATTATTTATTACTGTCCTGTACGGTTCATATGTTTGCTTCAGCTTTGGTGCTTGAACTCAATAATTGCAAATAAAAGTTGCGTACATTTGACAGCAATTACTTGTGGAAAAGTTGACATGCCGAGGTGCTATGGCGATTCTCTTACCTCTTCAAAGGAGGATTCCAAATTCATACCAAATGCAACACCGACGATTCCAAACAGGGAAACTGAAAACGTTCCCATTGTTAACTGGAGGTTCAACCGCATCATCACATTACGGTGGCTGCAGGAAATATTAATGAACACACACACACTGACTCCTGAACCTAGATGAACACATTTTTATACAGTAAAACACTGAAGAACACTAATCTAGTAGCACAGGTTTTTTTAAATAACATCTGAGGTTGTCCATATGTGCATTTTGATAAAAGTAAAATGACTTCAATTTGAACCCACGCAAAATTATCAATATTTTCTCTAAGAAGACAAAAATAAACTGCATGTAATGCTCAGATGTGTTCCTAGAAAGTTTACAACACAGGAAACTAAAACGCATTCTGAAGGGAGGAAGAAAATCAGAGACAAGTGCCACCAGTTCTTTTCAATGTTGTACATTACAAGAGCTTCATGTGACAAGTTTCTCATTATGGGTTGTCACAGTGATCATTTTAAAGGAGTGGGGGTAAGCATGCAGTTTAAAATGAGACATTATAATATTTACATTTGATATAGTGTCTTTCATGTCGGGAGGCTTGTCTCAAACCACTTCACAGAATATACTGTAAGGTGGAGTGTTTTGTGCGCAAACATTTATATAGATTAGGAAAGTTCTCAGATGTGCCACAGCGCATTCTCCTGACACTGCTCTGAACTGCAATAGTTGTCAAGCCACAATTACAGAATAGTACAGACCAGCTAGAACACCCCATGGTGTGCTCAACCAGCTTCATCTTCAACCCACCTGTCCAAGTTAATAAAAATGATACTTTCTGAGTCATTTATTAACACTTTCAGCTCCCGTGCTGTGTTAGCCAGATCCTCAGCCTGTCGGTAATAATTTTCAAGTAGCAATTCCATCTCCTCAGCAGGATCAATACCTTTACTGCTCTTCTCACTGCGAGCAGAAACAAAGGCAACAGTTTCTGTTAGTGCAGCATTGACAAAGATTTAAGCTAAGCTTTGAAAAGCAATGACAAATCAACATTGTCAATATTATTCTACAACTCAAGAGATTTGCAGAAAGCTTCAATAAGTTTAATGCCAAAACAAATCAATTGTATGGCCGATTGCTCTTATGTTCTTGATTCCACACTGCAACAATCCCTTAATATTAATAATCATATTCAAGGACTTTTGTTTCTTGCAGATATACTACAGAAGGAATAAAGCATCAGCCCCAAGCTAACTGCTTCTCAGAGCATCAGAGATTGGAAGTTAGAAGCAGACTGGTGCAAAGTAAAACAGTAAAGTTGTACATACAAAACTTGTGTCTCACTCCACTTGGTGACACAGAGCTCTTCAATCAGTTTCTCTTCATCTAGTATCTTCAGCAATGCCTCTTTGAAGACCTTCACATCCGTCTCCAGCTCACTCAGGCTGTGGTGGGGGGGGGGGGGGGGGAGGAGCAGAGTAAGTTGAACTGATGAAAATCCACCTCAGGCTATACAACAAGAATGTCAACAACAACTTACATTTATATTGCGCCCCTTTCACGCAGGACAGCTTCCTGGAGCATTTGAACATCCCAGAGCCTTGGGAAGTCCTCCCGACGTGAAAGGTGCTTTAAAAATGTAATTTGTTATTATTGTTTGTTGTCACAATGTGAGGACTTGGAGGATTTGTGTATAACAACACGCAAAACACAGCATAATATTCTGCATTATTTTTCCCCAACTTCGGGCGTGAAAGATGGACAGAAAATGGGTTATGAATAATCCAATGCACCTTTTCAATTCGGATAAAATGTAGATATTTCCAATAATAGTAACAAACTATACACTGCATTGAATACTTTTTTTCATACAAAATGATCAATTCCACTGTATCCTTAATGTGTTTCAGAATGCTTTGAAACATCTGTTGTGTGTCAGTGGGGTTGAGAAAGCACTTACTTTCCTCCTCAGGAAAAATCATAGGGATTTTTTTAATGCAATTCTGTCACCCTCCTCTTATAACAAAACCCAACATGCATGCGAATTGTACTTGTGAATAAATACAATGAAATATATGTTAAGAGATTCAATCCAACAACAACTTGCATTTACATAGTGCCCCTCACACAGGGCAGCATCCCAGGCCACTACTCATCGACGTAAGGAGTGTGGTACAGCCAGATCTGGTGATGGACCATCAGACCAGATTTGAGTCACGTACATTCAGTAACAGGCATTGGTCATCAGGCAGCAGAGTTGACCGTGTGCTGGGGTCACACGTGGGGGTAAAAAGCAGTTTGGGATGTGAGAGAAGCAAAGAGTGTTGAGGATTGCAGTGAGTGAGCTGCTCAAGCAAGGGACACATTGGGAATCGCTACTTGAGCCAAGTTTGTTGGCAGAACTCAATTTTAAGCAAAGCTCAAGTTGTATTCTTACTTCTTGCTGTTCTGAAGAAGGACGTGTAGTTTGCTTCTATCGAGTGACAGGAGTTTCGGGTCCACTAGAGCATCTAAGGTCTCCAGTACCTGAGGGTGTATTTCATTTAGCCTTGCTTGTAGAGTATTCATCTAGAAATGTAAAGTACATTTTCCCAAATGAGCCTTTTAGATTTATTTAACAGTTAATAGCAAAAGCCTTGCTAACACTTGAATGGAGATAAATGTTAAATGTGTATGTGCAGGGGAGTACAGTAAATGTGTTCCTATCAACCTACACTGCTGATTAGTCCTGGATTGTAGGGCACATGAGTCAACGTGGACTGCTGGACATGCAGGCCAACCGAGACTGCTGCTCAGACAAATCTAAAGATCTTTCTCAAAACTGTGTGGACACGGTCATTGCAGCTCCTAATGAGCACTGGTCCAAAAATGATCTCTACTGGCAGTCTTGCTCACAGTAGCCAGCGATTGGTTAATGCGTGAAATGGAAATATCCCCCCAATGCAGTTGGGAGTGATCTTCTGAAGTCCAGGATGAAGCTAAAGGATGCTGTACTAAAATCTGACTTGCTTGATCCCGACAGAGTGTGGGAAAGTGTTGCGTTTTTCCCTGCACTGATTGATATCTTTTATTTTGATAAAATGGATCACAAAGGGATGCAACTGTGGCACTTGGCAAAGCCCAATGCTACAAAAAAGTCTTTCACTCGTGTTCATCTGAAAAGGTTCTTTGTCACTCTTTTCGGGGGGTGGGGGGGGAAGAGGGAATAGAGGAACAAGAATTTATGATGACCCAATTAGTTGTCGGCCATTGTCGGCCAATGTACATGAAGAAGTTAAGAAGTTTCAATTTCAGCCGTGTTACAACACTACAATTATAAAAGCTTCTGAGCAACCACAAAGAATGACTTAATTGTCTCGAAATGATTCAGAGACTCATTCAAATAAAAGTGAGAGTTGTTTCGTTTGGGGTGAACACCAACTGAAGGTTTGGGTGAACACCAACTAAACTTGTGTAAAATACCAACAATTTTTGTTTTTCCAACCAGAAATCAATCAAATTTGTCCCGTGTTCACCTTTGCTGTTTTCAGGTCAGAAACAATCCCAATCTCACTAACCCTGTGTTGGAGTATTGCTTCTATAGCACGGAATTCAAACGGCAAAGAGTACATGACCAGTTGTCCATCTCCCGCTAGTTGTGAGGCCAGTTCATTTAAAAGCCAACACTCCAGATTTGGTTGGCGGTAATCCAGTATAAGGAGGTATTTCGGAGTAATCACAGCCTTTAGAATCTGGCAAAACAAAATAAAATTCCTGTGAAACTTTCAGTGATCTTTTGAATCAAAAACAACACCAGCCATGTACTGTTGGACCCCACTATGTTTTCTGGTACAGCAGATTTATTTACAATAATTTCCTATATAGTGCCTTGTAGATCATTGAGACATTTTTTTTTGTGGGTGAACATGGCAGCCAATTTGCGCTCAACCGTGTTTCACCCACAAAATACTCAATCAATCCATTTTACAATATATTCTGTGAAGCGCTGTGAGATGTCTAAACAACGTGATAAGGTACTATATCAAATGCAAGGATTATTATTACAACAAGGTCAGAATATCTAGGATGAGGGAGGCAAGATAGATAATCGCTTCACTTTTAACCAAATAAATACAACACCAGCGGCTGAACACATAACCATCATCACAATCCGGTTCAACTTTGAAACACAAGGTCTTGTAAACTAGCACCAGGCTCTCAAAATAAAATCATTAATTTCATGAGGAAGGACTTATTTGGTAGCAGCTTCACTCAGAAAAGAAACTTCTAACCCAGTTGACACTGACATTGATGATTACAACATGAACTGGCTTCTCATCAAAATGGCAAATTGTACATTTAGAATGACCATCATCTCCTCCCCTGTAGGGCCTCTCTTGAATGACATTTAAGAGCAATTTCATGCAGTGGCAACTTTTATTCTCAACTGGCCAGGAATAATATTGAATTGTATAACGTAGATAGAGAATAATGGGACCTGGATTGATTACAAGGCAGTAATCTCATCAAGGTGAAGAGTAAACATCAGAAATAACAAGAACAAATTACATTTGTATAGCACCTTCACATCGGGAGGACATCCCAAGGTGCTGGGAATAAATAACTAGAGGATAGTCTCACAATTTTATAATGGGTGAACGGAGGCAGCATACCACAACCTGAAAATTTATGTAGATTTGTTTTTTAAATAAATGTGCTTTATTTTGACGTAGATTGTGTGCCTTCATTTGTTTCAGTGAAGTACAATGGGGAAGCACAGCGAATGATTAGTCATTGTACTGCCGTTAGTGCAAGTTTATCAGGAAATAATGATTGATATACATCTTGCATTGAATCAAATGTAAAGTTATTCACAAAACTCTACCTCGGTACAAAAAGGTGCTGCTGTATTATTAATTGAATGGAATATTTGATTAACTTATCTGTCACATAAACAATAAAGACAGAACCCACATGTTTATATCACCATTTCAAAATGATTTAAGATAAAATTTAAATGTTATTCTGTAATTCTCAACAATTACAAGCAATTTCGACAACTTGCTACACAAATTGCGAAGAATAAAAATGTTCCTAATAGATTGTCCCTCTGGCACTTTCAGTTCTGATCTGAGGCATGAACCGTGACAACTTACAAACATTTAAAGAACATAACAATGGTACAGGACAACAACAACAACAAGATTCCATTTATAAAGCGCCTTTCACGTCAGGAGGACGTCCCAAGGCGCTGCACAGTTGGGTCATGACCCGAGCAGGGGGGAAATGGTCAGGGTGAGGGGAGGGAAGGGAGGGAGCGAGGAGGGGGAAGAGAGTCGAGAGGGGAGCTGAAGGCTTTATAATGGATCGCCTGCGTACAATACCTCCGTAACTGCATTATAAGCAAAGCGTGAAAAATGGTCGGTTTGTGAAGTCATCAATTACATCACTTCCTTAGCAGAGGACGCTTTTTAGTCTGACAAAAAGACAGCTAATCAGCTTCAGAAGTCGAGTGTATTGTGTTTCTGCTTAGCACAGATCCACAAGATCATCATTATTCCAAGGTGTGCTATAATTGCTGACAAAATGTTCCTGGATGCTTCTGATCATACTCAAAATCAAAAATCACAAGCAAACACAGATCATTTCTATAAAGCGTTGAATCAATCCACATCTCCAGAAAATGTTTGGATTGAAGATTCATCTTACCTCCATCCTTAAGATAATGCAATTATTCTTGGCATTAATGCTCGTCAGATGCTGGAACCGTAAATCTCGTGCTTGAAGTCCAAGCTCCTGGAACAATTCTGTCTTCTTCCTTTCTACAGTGAAGTGACACAGAGCAACAATGTACATTTACTAAAATGTAAGGGTTATTATTGGAACATTTAAGAAAAAAAATCATATGTAAGGAACCGTTCAATTTGATTAGGAACTCGTTCTCTTCTCCAGCTTTCTTCCAGCAAAAAAAAATCTATAGTCAATTCACTTTACAGCATATTCTGTGAAGCACTTTGAGATGTCTCGAAGACGTGATAAGGCGCCACATCAAAAAAAATCAAAATGCAAGGATTATTATTTCCCATTTAAAGACAATTTTACTCCCCCCTACTGCTTTGAGACGCCTCTACAATAATAAAGTGCTGCATCAAACGCATGGATTTTTCTTTTTATATTTTATTATTATTATAAGACGTTGTATCAAATACAAGAATTATTATTATCATCACGTCTTCGAGATGTCTCAAAGCGCTTCACAGACTATATTGTAAAGTGAATTGACGGTATATTTTGTGGGAGAAACGCGATTGTCAATTGTGCACAGCAGTGTCCCACAAAACAGCGAGTGTTTTTGAGTGACCAAATTTTAAAAAATATATATTTTTAAGGAATTATTACATCCAGAAAAGCGATCCGCTAAACGACTAACAACCGGGTTCCTACTTACAGCTAGGTAAACAGAGACGTGTGGAGTAAGGAAACTTGCCCAACGTTTCACCCTGCCCGGAATCAAACCCATGTCCTCTCGCTTGCGAGGAGCGTGCTCTCACCTCTAAGCTACAGGACTCCACCTTATGATGCATCCTGAAGTATTGATCTGAGTTTACTTTCCAATCCTGTTTAAAATGCTATACACCTCTATGAGATGACCCCTCTGAGTCGTCTTCTCTCACGATTGAAGATTCCTAATTTGTCTAATTGTTGCTCATAGCTCATTCTCCTAACACTGGGGAATATTCTCATTGCTCTCCTCTGTACCATCTGTAGGCCTGGAAACCCCCATTATGTCACAGTGTCCAGAACTGAATGCTGTATTCAAGGTCCAGTCTGACCAGAGCACAGTACAGCCTGAGTATGATGTCTGGGGATCTAAACTCAACTGATTTAGCAATATAGCCCAGCATCCTGTTTGCTTTGCTTATTGCTGCCTCACATTGTATTGACATAGTGAGCAACAAGTCAACTAATACCCCTAGATCTCTTTCAGCTTCAATATGTGTTTTAGTGATACTGAATGGAACACATTGCACAATTAACTGGACTAAGATACATTTTTCCAAGAAAATAAACTTGGTCCCCGTTTCGAGACACACAAGTGAATACTTGTTACATGATGAGAATGACACTTCAAAAGTAAGTTTGAAAACAAGATAACATTTACAGAAAAAGATAAAACAATGGAAGCAGAATTAAATGGGCATCACCATCTTCTTTAAATGTTCTCAGCACAAGGTTTTTACTCGAAACAAGAAATGTTATGACTTAAAAAATAAAACTTACCAAAAGAGCTGACATTTCCAGCCTCGTCAAATTTCATCTGCAAGAAGAAAATGACGCCCATTAACATTGACATTCATGTGGCGTTTTAAAAAACCGAGTATTTAGGTGACACTTACCACTGAAAACATTGGAACCACAGAGGCCAGAGTAGACTGCAATGGTTCTGTACTGTAGTATCGGCTTCCTTTTACTAAGAGAATTCAAAAGGTAAAGATTATCAACAGGTATTTATATACAGATCTAACTTGCAGTATTTCTTAAACAAGATTCCTTAATAGGGTTCATAATTACAACCCCTCCTATTAATCGGTCCTCCTAATACATCACTATGATTCACAGGAGCCAATTGCAGACCAGAGATTGACAGGAATTCTTATTAAGGAATCCAGAGCATTTTTTTNGTCAGCCGGGTGTCTAACACATGCAAAAATGCATCACCATGCTTAAGGGTATTCAAAATCAAATAGAGTTCCATGCACCCCACCTATAGCAATTCCAGAGATGTTTATTGGAATAGAATGTGCTCTCCCCCCTGAAGGGACGCATCCTGTTTACCTAAGACTGATAAGTATTAGGTGCAGGTTGGCGAGAGCCATGACTTAGGGTCTTCAGAGTGTGTGTTAGGGTACTGCTGGAATCTAACCAGCTAAAATTACATAGCATGCTTTTGAGAGCACTGCCTGGCAGGCTTTTCTGCCACTTGTCCAGTAGGACCCTACCCATTAGGGCTTTGGCTTGCAGGAATAGCGGCAGCTGACTGCAGAAAAGTCCCTGACCCAGCGACTGGTCTGCCCTTTAAGGTCCTGCCGATGAGCCAGCCTGGCTGTGCTGTCATCAGCTGTGCCCTGGAATAGAGGACCTGCCTGCCTCAGGAACTGGACAACCGAGACCGCCACAGAGGATGAGTTTGGTTCCAACATTCTGTTGTCAAATTTATCACCTTGGAGACAGATCAGCTTAGCTCCCCAAAACCCCTGCCCGCCCGCCCCCTCCCAGCCCCCTCAAAGATGACAGTAGAATCCAGAGTAACCTGTATGTAGTATGCACATAATTTGGGAGTAGTGCTCAATACTTAAACTTGAGGGAGGTTGCAGAAAGGGAAGGTTTTGTTATTAACCGTAATAACTTTAACAATGTATAATTCACCAAACTACAATGAACAGAAAGAACCTCTTGCTCCAGATGTTAAAATAGGACAAATTTCCATTTCCCACAGCAGACAAGACATCCTTCACTGTGAACAAGCAGCATTGTCACTGAAATTTCAGTAAAGCACAATGATTGAGCATCATCAAGGTGTCAGTCTGGTTCAGTCGGTAACTCCACGTCAGGACCTTGAGATAACAGTATAGGTCGACATTCCCATTACAGTACTAGGGGAGCACTGCATTGTTGGAGGTGCCGCCCTTCAGATGAGATGTTAAACCTGAGGCCCCTCTGCCTGTTCAGGTAGATGTTATGGATCCCACTATTCAAAAAGAGAAATGAGTTCCTCCCAGTGTCCTGGCCAATAATCCACTATATAAAATTGCTCATTCATTTCATGGTTCTTTGTGAAATATTGCTGAGAGCAATTCGCTGCTGCATTTATTTGCACCCAAAAATCCGGTCACTACATTTTACAGTAAACCTTGTGAAGCGCTTTAAAATGTCCTTCTGATATGAAAGGTGCTTTATCAAAAGTAAGAATGATTATCATATGGAACATATGCAGTCACTGCATACAAGAGACTCCAAAAAAATGACATTAAATGTTCAGTATGATTTATTCTCAAGTTCGAATGGCTGTACCTATATCGGAAAAATGGAACTGACCCATCTTAAAAACATTCATCCAGAGCAATCGGGTCAGATTTTTCTTTTAAAGTCTACAACACAGTTCCTTCCACAGGTTAATGTTCATAAATAATCTTTGTGCCAAGTATTACCAGTAAAGTATGAAAATTTCAAATATTTGTCATATTATTTGCAGAAAATAAGCATATTTTGCAACTTAAGCTTGAAAATGATCCCCAATTGTCTGACTGTAACGTAATGGTCCCATGGTCAGTCCCAATGTAAGCATCCTTTGGCACTATAACTATAAATAATGTAATAACCCTTGCATTTAATATAGCGCTTTTCATGTCTTCCAGACGTCTCACAGTAAAGTGAATTGACTGTATATTTGTGGGCGAAACGCGGCAGCCAATTGCGCACAGCAGAGTCCCACAAGTAGTTGTGGCTCGAAGTGACCAATTTATTATTGTTTTTTTTTCTTGAGGGATCATTATCAGGCGTGTGGAGTAAGGAAACTTGCCCAAGGCGTCGCCCTGCCGGGAATCAAACCCAGGTCTCTCTAACCAATGAGCTACAGGTCTCCACTGATAATTAACTGATAACTAATCAGCTGCATTAAATTAAGCAGAACATTGAAACTGTTAACTTTATCGTGTCATTGCACGTGTCCTAAAAAAAAAAGCAGCAGGCATCGCAAATCATGAAATAATTGCAATATCGAATATTGCTGTATTTGGAAGACAAATTACCTGAGGACAATGCTACATTAAATGCGTTGGTGTGACAGAAATACCGATTCATTCGGGACGCAAACAGTTGTTGCTGCGGCTGGATTCCCGCAGGTGCACAAACTGCAGAGAGGTTTCTTTCGTACGCGCGCACGCCTTTTGACCTTCTTCGGCTGGTGCAAGCTCTGGAGCATAACCGAAGTGAACCCTCTTGAAGAGTGGCCGCAGCTTGCTCTTTAAATACGCGCAGCCAAGTCCTGGTCAGCACAGCAGCCTCCATCCACGAGATTCTTCCGCTTGCAGTCTCAAAATTCATTCAACTCACAAAACCGACCGTCAATCAGACAGTCAAACAAACAGCAGCAAAGCTGGTTCTGGTTCTGGTTTTAGCCCCAGTGAGGGGTGTCAACGTTAGGATGTTCTCTGGGGGGAATGAGGGCAGAGGGGTGGGGGGTGGGGGTGAGGGTGGGGGGTGATTCAGGCCCAGCGTTATGTGGCCCGGAAAGGAAACAGTAGCAGTGATGGAGGTGGCTGATGGCATCAAGTGTGACAACCTGAGAGACAGCAAATACTGGACGCACTTTCAACAACTTCCTAAACTACAAATGAAGTTGGACTCAGTCACTCAGTCACTCAGACTCTCTCCCTCTGCCGCTGACCGACACTTAGAACGCCCGGGGAGTAGAATTCCATCCACCGATTGTTCCCTTTGTTGACATCACAAGCGGGTTCCGGAAGGTTATACCTCCCGAGGTTCTATCCCAGCCTGCCCCGGGGGGGGGGGGGGGCGGGTTGTTGTGGAGCTGTCTTGCGCACGCGCGGTTCTCGCCGTGTGGTTAATGGGAGAAGGGGGGGGGGGAGAGAAGGGGACGTCATGCGCATGCGCGTCACTGGCTCGGTGGTGATGTGAGACGTCGTGCGCAGGCGCGGTCCCTCTGATTCCTGGCAGCTGCACCTGTTCCATCCTCCTGGAGGCGACAGTGAGCCCATGGCGGGGGGGGGGGGGGGTCTGGCCATGTTTTGTAAACCAAAGCCGGGGACGCATGTGCGCAAGCAATTGAACTCCCTTCCCGCACCGGGCTCCGAGGCCCTATCCTCCTCACCCTCGCCCGGCTCCGCTGGGTGCCCATCGTGGAGTCCTGTAGCTCAGTGGTTAGAGCACTCGCTTTGCAAGTGAGAGACCTGAGTTCAATTCCAGGCAGAGGGCGAAACCTTGGGCAAGTTTCCTTACTCCACACAGAGCCTAATAATAATCCCTCCAAAAACCAAAACAATAATAAATTGGTCATTTTCAATCTACGACTGTTTGTGGGACATTGCTGTGCGCAATTGGCTGCCGCGTTCGCCCACAAATATACAGTCAATTCACTTTACAGTATATTCTGTGAAGCGCTTTGGGACGTCCTCCCGACGTGAAAAGCGCTATATCAAATGCAAGGATTATTATTATTATTATTATTATTATTATTATCCCCAGAGGATAAGGATAAGAGTTCAAAGTCCTCGTCCTCGCCTTCAAAGTCCTCTACGGCCCCTTCCTACCTCTGTGACCTGCTAACCCCATATCAACCTGCCCTCTCCCGCCGCTCAGGCCTTCAGCCTCTCTGCACCCCAGCCTTTGGAACTCCATCCCACAGTCCCTTCCCGACTGCCCCCTGACTTGCCTGGTTTAAGGCCTGACTCAACTCCTTCCTCTTCGACTGTGCCTTTAGTCACGTTTCTATCCCCACCCGTCCTGCCCTCCACCCCTCCTAATCCTAATCCCCAGCTCGGGTGCGCATCCTTGACTGTCCAGTGCTTTGGGACGTCCTCCCGACATGAAAGGAGCTATACAAATGTAATTTGTTATGACCACAATACCTGATGCTGGTAGTACTGGAGAAGCTTGTTGGGTTAATGGGCGTATTTCTCTGATGAGTATATCTGTTTTAGAATGGTAGTGTTCTTGCTCAGTTTGTGGCTGAGCTCAAGAAAGGGCAAATTTGGCCAGGGACACAATACCTCCTGACGGAAATTGGGGATGTATGATCACTCTAACCTAGCAGAGCTCTACCCATTTGGAGTTCTTATTTGTTTAGGATTTAAATATGTAACATTTTTTATTTGTTGTGCAACAAAGAGAAAGTATTGCTCTTGGCAACAATTTACAACAACATGAATTTGCGTTTATAAAGCGACCACGCTGGATGGCATCTGGGTTGATACACTATCACTTTAGGAGAATATTTCAAAGTACAGCACTTCGCAAAGATATGAGTGGGAGCCCCATCTGGGAGAGAGATCGACAGTGGGTGGGTGAAGGGAGGTTGTCGAAAGCACAGTTGAAGGACTTCAGGTGGGATTTGAAAGCAGAAAAAGAAGGAATGTTACAAAGGGAGTGGCAAAATGGCTAAAAGCTTGTCTGCTGATGGGGCAGATTAGGGTTGTCTTGGTGCTATGGTCAAGGCAAATGCCAAATTAGAATGACTTATACAGGGAATGGTGAGAAAGGAACAAACAGAGCTGGAAAGTGACAACTTGTTCCAGCATTTTGGAGACGAAGGGCAGGTTGGGGGATTTGGGGGCTCTGACTAGAGCAGTAGTGGCCAACCCATGGCCCGCAGGCCAAAAATGACCCTCAGGAGCATCAAAAAGTGGCCTGCTAAACATTCACACTAGTCTTGGTAACTCTGTTAAATCAATATTTTGTTTCCAGTAGCGCCTCCTCACCTCAGGCACTGACAGCATCACCATCCATGGTTGCACACTCCACCTTGCTAAGGCAGTCCAGAACCTTGCCGACTTGTTTGACCCTCAGCTATCCTTTCTACCTCACATCTGCGCCATGACCCGTTCTGCCTTCCCCCACCTCTGCAACATCGCCCAGCTCCGCCCACTGTCTCACACCGCAGGCCGTCGAAACCCTCATACTCTTTCATTACATCGAGGCTTGACGATCAAACTCATTGCTTGTCGGCCTCCCCAACTCCTCCCTCCATAGGTTGAAGATCATCCAGAACTCTGCAGCCCCCGTCCAACTCCCGCACTTGGCTCCGCGACCCGATCACCCCCATCCTCGCCCAGCTCCACTAGCTTCCCATCACTCAGAGGATACAGTTCAAGATCCTGGTCCTCCCATTCAAAGCCCTCCATTGTCTTGCTCCTCCCTACCTCTGCGATCTCCTAACCCCCTACCATCCTGTTCGCTCCCTCCACTCAGCGGGCTCTGGCCTGCTTCACGCCCCCCGCTTCACTTGCCCCACTATTCGGGAGTGGGACTTCTGCCATTCTACCCCCACCCTCTGGAACTCCATCTCGCAGTCCCTCTGCCTCGCCCCTTCCCTTGCCTCCTTCAAGACACATCTCAAGACTCTCCTCTTTGACTGTGCTTTCGATCTCCCTGCTTCCCCCCCTTGCCCTCTACCCTCCCCGACCCCCAGCTCTGGTCTAAAACTCTGTCCAGTACCTTGGGACGCCCTCCCGACGTAGAAATGTAATTTTGTTGTTGTTGTACTAGTGGTGTTAATTATGGTATGGCCATAAATCAAGAAATACGACAACAACAACAAAATTACATTTATAGAGCGCCTTTCACATTGAGAAAATGTCCCAAAGCGCTGAACAGTCAGATGTCAGAGCCCAAGCATGGGGGAGAGGTGGTGTAGGGGTGAGGGAAGGCAGAGAGGTGGAAGGGAGACCAAAGGCACGGTCGAAGACCTTTATAAATGGAATCTTGTTGTTGTTGTTGTTGTTGAAGAGAAGGGTCTTGAGACCAGCCTTGAAAGAGGCAAGGGAGGAAGCGAGGCAAAGGGACCATGGGATGGAGTTCCAGAGTGTGGGGGCAGAAAGGCTGAAAGTTCGGCCACCGATGGTAGGGCGGGTCGGGCGGGAGACATGGAGCAGGCCGGAGCCCGCTGAACAGGGAGCGGGCAGGTTGGTAGGGAGTCAGCAGGTCAGAGAGGTAGGAGGGGCTGTGAGGGTGAGGGAGGGGCTGGGAGGGAGGGAGGGAGGGTGTGAGGGTGAGGGAGGGGCTGGGAGTGTGAGGGAGGGCTGGGAGGGAGGGAGGGAGGGTGTGAGGGTGAGGAGAGGGCTGGGAGTGTGAGGGAGGGGCTGGGAGGGAGGGAGGGCTGGGAGGGTGAGGGAGGGGCTGGAGGGAGGGAGGGTGTGAGTGTGTGAGGGAGGGGCTGAGAGTGTGAGGGAGGGGCTGTGAGTGTGAGGGAGGGGCTGTGAGGGTGAGGGAGGGGGTGAGGGAGGGGCTGTTGAGGGTGAGGGAGGGGCTGGGAGGGTGAGGGAGGGGCTGGGAGGGTGAGGGAGGGCTGGGAGGGTGAGGGAGGGGCTGGAGGGTGAGGGAGGGCTGGGAGGGTGAGGAGGGGCTGGGAGGGTGTGAGTGTGTGAGGGAGGGGCTGAGAGTGTGAGGGAGGGGCTGTGAGTGTGAGGGAGGGGCTGTGAGGGTGAGGGAGGTGTGAGGGAGGGGCTGTGAGGTGAGGAGGGGCTGGAGGGTGAGGGAGGGGCTGTGAGGGTGAGGGAGGGTGTGAGTGTGAGGGAGGGTGTGAGTGTGAGGGAGGGGCTGAGAGTGTGAGGGAGGGCTGGGAGGGAGGGAGGGAGGGCTGGGAGGGAGGGTGTGAGGGTGAGGGAGGGGCTGGGAGTGTGAGGGAGGGGCTGGGAGGGTGAGGGAGGGGCTGTGAGGGTGAGGGAGGGGGTGAGTGGGTGAGGGAGGGCTGTGAGGGTGAGGGAGGGTGTGAGTGTGAGGGAGGGTGTGAGTCAGTGTGAGGGAGGGGCTGTGAGTGTGAGGGAGGGGCTGTGAGGGTGAGGGAGGGGCTGTGAGGGTGAGGGAGGGGCTGGGAGTGGTGAGGGAGGGGCTGGGAGGGAGGAGGGAGGGGCTGTGAGGGTGAGGGAGGCTGGGAGGGTGAGGAGGGGCTGGGAGGGAGGGCTGGGAGGGTGAGGGAGGGGCTGGGAGGGAGGAGGGAGGGTGTGAGGTGAGGGAGGGGCTGTGAGTGTGTGAGGGAGGGTCTGAGAGTGTGAGGGAGGGCTGTGAGTGTGAGGGAGGGGCTGTGAGTGTGAGGGAGGGGCTGTGAGGGTGAGGGAGGGGCTGTGAGGGTGAGGGAGGGGCTGTGAGTGTGAGGGAGGGGCTGTGAGGGTGGGGGAGGGCTGTGAGGGTGAGGGAGGGCTGTGAGGGTGAGGGAGGGGCTGTGAGTGTGAGGGAGGGGCTGTGAGGGTGAGGGAAGGTGTGAGTGTGTGAGGGAGGGGCTGGGAGAGTGAGGGAGGGGCTGGGAGGGTGAGGGGAGGGAGGCTGTGAGGGTGAGGGAGGGTGTGAGTGTGAGGGAGGGGCTGTGAGGGTGAGGGAGGAGCTGTGAGTGTGAGGGAGGGTGTGAGTGTGAGGGAGGGTGTGAGTGTGAGGGAGGGGCTGAGAGTGTGAGGGAGGGTGTGAGTGTGTGAGGGAGGGGCTGAGAGTGTGAG